AGCTCAGCGGTCAACTGCACTTATACACCCAACTCGACAATGATACCAGCACTCAACGGCTGCTGTTCAGGAAGGTGAAAAAAGGCTTCACAGAGCAGGCCTGGCAACTGGCAGCTGCCCAGCAGCAGCTGGCTCACCTGAGGGCCTCAAGTTACCAACGCTGCAGTTAGGAAGAGGAAGACTGTTCAGATCGATCCCAACACGAAGTTTGCGAACATCAGGGATATCCATCGGGCTCAAATCGAAGCGGGTGAAAAGGAGGTTATTACGGCTGAATCCAGCGACTCTGAATGCCCTAGTGAGGCTGGCAGTTGTATTGTAGTGGGTGTGGTTGAGGATCAATAGTTAATAGTAATGAGGAGGTTGGGTTGTGATCCCATCGTTTTTGTGGGTGCCAGAAACAGGGGGGTGCCAGGAAGTGGGGGGTTTGACTTAATGGTCAAGTTGATATCATCCCGGCGAAGTCTCCCGTGCTTGATTTCGGTTTATGTATGAAGAGTGAGACAAACGTGCAAGTCAAAAAAGGAGTGCTAAAGATTCTCCCACGCGACACATTTTTTTCGATGAGTACATGTAGGCTGCAAAGCCATATCGTACCTCCCCCCCCCCCCCTCCTCCTTTCCTGTGAAAGACCATCTAGAGAAGTGCATTAAGGATTGAGATGAACACATCTAGAGTCTAAGAACCTATATCGGTGCTTAACTTCATCCCATCACCAGGAGCTGTCTGCAGACAGCAAGTAGACGGGAAGCCGTGCATTCATCACCAGAGGGACACCAAAATCTTTTGTCTCAATACGGCATGGCCATTGACAAAATATGTGTGATATCAAAAGATTGTCTTTGAGTCGTCCCACATTGTCAATCTGATTGCATTTCCATAACCTGCTACACAACTTCCAACGAAGGTGGCAGTATTGCAAGTATACTTTTTGAGAAGAAGAGAGGATCAGGAAAGCCATAATCTGAAGGAAGTATCGTATAGAAAGTCCAATGCCAGTGAGAAAAGACTCCAAATCTCAACCCAATTTTCCATCATTGTGTGTCGGCCCCTGATACGCTCGTAAGTCCAACACTTCAGGTCCGGGCTCTGTCTCACGCTGCCTACGACGACGTCGCCGCCTACGCCAAACGAGATATCCGGCCAAGAGGAACACCAGTATGGTGACTGAGAACAGTGTCATGTTAGGATATGTAAGAATGTGGAGCAGAGATTCTAATGGTCGTTTCACTTACCAATTCCTGATACAAAGCCAAGAATCGCGATACCGACCTCGGTGAAAGTGGGAACACCCTGGGTCATATTGATGTTGATCGCCGGTGGTTGATATTGTTTGACACCATCCCCGCTGCGTAGTGCCGTGTTCTGGTCAGCTGCTGGGATTTGTGTCGCGATTACCGTCACTGTTGGGGGTGCTAAGGTAACAAAGACAGTATTAGTTGGACCTCTCGATGCCGGCGGAGGCGGTGGAGGCGGCGGCGGCGGCGGTGGTCGAGGGGAAGGGGGGGGCGGTGGAGGAGGCGGTGATGGAGGCGGTGGTGGTGGTGGTGGCCCCTCAGGGGGGCCCTCAGGGGGAGGTGGCGGCGGTGGCGATGGCGGAGGAGGTCCTTCTGGCGGAGGAGGAGGTGATGGTGAGGTCGGGGGAGGTCCTTCTAGGGGCGGCGGTGGTTCTTGAGGAGGCGGCGGTGGAGGTACCTGTCGTCCCTGATATTGGTGTTTTTGGTCAAGATTGAGCCATGGTGGTGGAGGCTTTCTGCGAATTAACAACACTCCTGCCATTTTGTTAAGTTGGACGATTGGTTTTCCGTGTTCTCGACCCTAGAGGTGTTTTAGTGGCCCAAGACTGTTACGGCCAATCTGACGAGTTTTACCGCAGCTCAATTGCCTCTCACGTTCTTATCAACACGCTGTTACACAAAAGCGATATTAATTTGACGGGAGGACACGATGCTTTGAAGGGCGAATAAGAGGCAAGAACAATATGGATCGCTCAGCCTAATGGTATGTATCGAGAGCAACAAGTTGCAAGAGAACACAGGGACGCTCGCCGTTGATATTCACTTTTGATCGAATCCTTGTGACAGGAGACTGTGCTTGGAGTTCTACCTAGTGCTGTCGCTGCAACGCTCGGCGCAGGGGAGTCCATCTGAACTTCGGTAGATTGAACTATACAATTGGTTTGGTTTCAAGCTTTTTACACACAAACCACCTACGTCCTTTTGACAGGCATGAAACAGAGTTAAAGTGTACGTCTGATGACCGCGAGACATTGCCAAAAATAGCATGGCTCACAGACGAAGAGCACATAGCGTCGACACTCGAGGCTGCATGAAAGATATTCTTCCATTGTTTTTCAAGATTTTAGTCGAGTAGCCCCGCAGGAGAAGATGGTGTTGGAACTTTAAAAAGAAGCTCCAATTCTCTGTTCGACTCGTACACGCGGTGTTATTCAATCGCTGCAGCTTTTGGCCCATTTGAACTGGATCACTTATGTTTAGAATACTGGTAGCATACGTGAGAAACTGGCTTTGAATAAATACGACGACGAAACTTGAATCTTCGATCGTCGCTAGTAGTGTGTACAAGTCATAAGACTTGAGGAGTTGTCGACACCATTTTACTAGACAGTCGAGACCACTCAAGAGTTTGCAAGTGGTTGAACCTTGGAGGAATTAAGGCAATACTCCCCGGCGCAAAGCTCCTCACGATTACAGTAGGTTCAAATAGCTACCTCGACACTTTCCATCACATCTCGATTGGGAGTTTGAAACATCTTTTGACGTTATGCGACCTCTGTTACAAGGTTCACCTCCGCTTTGTCGCTTTGCAAGAGGCATTCCGGAAGACGGAAGTTGCACGGGCGAGTCACGATCCTAGCTTTAGATGTGCTGCTTTCCAACACATCAGAAGCAGTCAGCTGATGTTCAAAGTGGTCTCATGGTAAAGTTATCAGCGTAAGCTAATAATACCCACCCTCTCCTTTTCTCTCTCTCTCTCTCTCTCTTTCTTTCTTGTCAGATCAAATTCAGCTGCCGCCAACCAAAGCGGAAGTGATGCAGAGATCTGGTTATGATAAATGAGTTGAAAGCCTTCAAACCATAGGTTTGACGGACCGCGCTTGTGGAAAAGAGTATCAGCCTCTATTGGTAAAGAACTACTAGCTCGTAACCTTCGGAGAAGTTAAGATCGCTTCTTCCGTGATGGGCGTGCAGCCTTTTCAGGAAATCGAAGCATTGACCGCACAAGCGCTCGTGTCATTCGGGAGGACCTTGTCAGTTGGTTTCGGAAATATTCTGTCATCGACGTGAGTATCATCCGTGCGATTTGAATGACAGGCTCATTATCAGCAAGCGACAACAGGTGGCGTTAGAGCATGCCGAACGGTAACATCGGCGTTTCTACGCCATATTAGAAATTATCTTAGCCACGAACGTGGAAAGATGATCATGGGAAGGGTCGAGCCGGGGAAACATGTTTCACTTGCGTACCTTTGCCTGTAGGCCTAGTCCACTCAGCTCATCAAACTGACGACAAGGTTGACAGACCACTCGGCATCTGGCAACACGGCAGTTGACTATCCGGGGATGGGTGACGCGTCGGTAAGTTATCCGGAGGCGGCTGAATGGCAAAGGCGCTCTGCCAAAGTTTTAACGGAAAGTAATGGTGCAGTCCGGCGACTTTAATCATCGGGGGTTTCCCGGGATCGGGTGGACCATTGTGGAGATTGGGTAAATCGCGTCCCGCAAAGTAGTAACCGACACAGTCCCATTGGGAACGATATAAATGGGGTCCGCCGATGATAGTAGACCTTATCGGTCGACTGAAGAAATCATTCGCGATTCCGAGGAGAATTTTGCGCTCCGAGTAGACATGTTACATTGTCTGGCGTAAAGTGGTCTAGTAAAATGATCATACTAGGTAGGTGTGCAAATAGCACACGCGCATAGGTACCTCGCTCATCAATTATAGTAGTCACATAGTGTTGAGCTCATCGTTATCATCCAACAAACACAGGCTGCGTTGAACAAATGCTGACCAGGAAGAAACAGGACTAAAATGCCGTGAAGTTCCTGGCCTTCTTTCATTGCCGGTACGGATGCATTATTGATGTTGACCTGCCCTAGATCAACTGTACTCCCTTAGATGATCTACGCTAAGTTTGAACCCATACCTGGTCTATATACTCAGCGATATAATTCGATGAGACCAAGTTTTTTCACACTGCGTTGAGTTTGAACAGAAATGCGCGTCGTTCTGGACAGTTGTCGAAGGTGTCTCACGAGTATGACTCCCAAGTCCTCTTCTGTGTTTTTAATAAGACCTCTAGCACAGAGAGACTAGCATTCTTCTTGTGCCCATAAATTGTGGGGACTCAGTTTCCGTCAGTGCCTGGAGGGCTGACTCGAAATTTTCTGAATAAGCCAGTAGACCGGAGCCTTGGCAGGCCCGGATCAGCTTGCACATCGTTGAAGCCTGGAAGGGCCTTGAAGATCAAAAAAGTGGTTACAGATTCCATCGAGATATTGTACGTTATTGGTGCCTACGTAGCCTTGGCGTCGTAGTTGAACGAGTGTCAAGAACATCTTCCGAGAAAAGCAACATATCTATACCCATTTATCAACCCATGGATTGCCAGTAATGGAAGAGCCACCAATCAAGATGCTCTAGATACCTTGTTATCGAAGGAAACAAATTCTGTAAGTTACAAGTACAAATTGTTTAAAGTTGCTTATATGATCCGGGATGCAAATTTCTTATCGTCTTGTCTGGTCGCTCTATTTCGTCGATTTGATGCGCCATGCAGGGGCGTTGAGCTGCAGAATACGGCTTTCTACTACGTAGGTAATAGTTACTTCGTAGAGTTGAAGGAAATAGCATTCGCCATACCCAAGTGAATCGCGTCATTGCGGGGTCCGGGGGTTTCGACAGAAATTGACGTGGCCCCAGCATTTCGAGACTGACTGCACCCAAGAGGGCACGGGCGCGAGCCAGGCCTGGAATTATGGGAAGCTCGAAGTCGCGGCTTTTCTTCCAATCTCTGTCCAATGCCCTTTGATGCCTGCCTTTTCTTCTGTGGTTAAATGGATCCCAAACCAATCCTCTAGTGCCTTGACCCTATCGCTCTCGTCTTGACAGTCTTTAACAACACGGGTCTTTCCTCCCAGATTCTCTTTCAAAACCGAGCCTACCAACATCCTCTTTCCGACAATCGCCTCGTCACCTTCAGCCCCATCGTCAAGAGTTTCCCTCTTTCTGAGAAACTTAACAACCAATGGACAAAATCTCTGGAAAGAATCGGGTGACGTGCTTGTGTACCAGTTCATGACTTTGAAGTCCGCTTCCAAAAATTCCTGCTCGGAGAAGGCGTAAAAAGAGTTCCACTGCTTCGCTGGTCCATTTCGATACTGGTAAATCCAGAGCTTCGAAGCTTCTGTCCGAAAAACTTGATTCGCAAGGTGGTCTCGCACTAAGCGGACCTCTTGATTACCAAGATTTTGCAATGCCTGATCATGCTTCAAGGGAATCGGCTTGGTAGCGCCGTCGCCTCCAAATGCCACATCGATCATGTAATGGGTTCTGTCTGGGAAGCCTACAAGGCTGAGCATGTGTGTCCTGGCGAACATGAGCTGATGACCTATAAAATGGAAGATCTACCAGACGTAATACAGTTACTTACTAGCCGATGTAGTCACCGCTAGGCACACCATCCTTCCGCAGTCGAATTCGAACCCCAGTCATGTATGTCTGGAACCCAAGTGCTCTCAGAATATGGTGCATCAGAATACTGACTTCCATGCAGTAGCCACCTCGGCCCCGACCGCCTGTAACTAACTTCTCAAACAGCAGCTGAGGGTCTAGCTCAACCAGCCGTGATTCGGAGTAGTGCAAAGACAAATTTTCATAAGGAATGGTTGAGATGATGTGCACGTGGAGGGCAGTGAGATAAGCTAGATTACGAACCGGCTCGTTGCATTGCCGGTACTTTGTAGGGAGACAGATAAGCTCTTCGAAGAGAGCTATCTGCTCCTGGTTATAAGCTGATTTAAGCAGTCCTGTCATTATCAGGTAGAGTTGCCGGAGAATGATGAAGGTCGTTGAGATTCAAGTTGTTACTGCGAAGTTACATGTGAGTAGGTTGCAGTGCTTGAACTTGGTCAGCATCGGGGTGATCAAGGATTGTTGAGTCACACGAATTCTACGCCAACGATCGTCCCGGTGGAACCCGAAGGTTTGCCAACACTAGTCCAAGATCGATTCGAAAACTGATTCTCAAGGCATGAATGGTTTGATTCAGTCCTACATCAACTCAAGTTCGATTATTAATTACTGCTGAGCATAACTAACATTATTCGTGGAGAATAGAGACATTGCAGCGGTCCTTTAGTAAACATCATGATATCAGCGCCACTGTGCGGATACCTACATTGGCCACGAGCTGTCATCGCCTGAAAATCGCGAGCTAAGAACATAACGTTGCCTCCCTTAGTCACTTTGCCAAACCTCTCAAAACACGCTTTAGCCGGTCCGGTTATGAAACCAATAATTCGAAGATATGATCAAAGCTTCATTCGATCTTTAGCGTGGACAGCCCAGATGCGAAAAGTAGACGAGTACTTGATATCAGTACTTACCTACTTAGTTGATCAAAAAAACGCAGCCTGCTGGAGAGACCCTTAAGTCCGATCGACCGATAGACAACGGGAATGTAAGAGGTGGGTTCCGCTTTTCTCTACCTATCCTCATGAGAAGGATGGCCAAAATATGTAGGAGGAAGAAGGGGAAAGATCCTCCACTATTGGCGACAACATTGGCAACGTCACGTCATTGAAGGCCCAGCTCCAGCCTACGTTGGGGCAATATCGGTTTGGTTCTGTACTTTAGCAGCTTTTGGAGTGCACTGGAGCTTTAATCTGATTCGTATTCTGTCTCAATGGATACCCATCGTTGCGTCATTGTTCAGTTCCAGAGCACATGGTCGTAATATCTCAAGTACTTACTTTGTCGTCAACATACTATAAATGATCCGCATGACGATTGCCGGGCGAAAGAATTACTTTGGCCCCTAAGTGTTCATCTGATAACGGATTAAAAGTCGGCCCTGGCCCGAAGAAGAGGTGCAATGTACCTCGTGGCGAATGGTGCTGGATCGAAATCAAAGAATTCGAAGCAATCACTCGATATTCATACTCCATTCAAAAACTCACTGATTGGGGGCTCATAAGAAAGACGTTCTCATTCGTAAAGATATCAATAGATAATATTTACATTGAAAAATTCAGAAGGCTGCAGCACTCTTTGACACGAAAGTAGGCTTGCCTAGATAAATAAGATAGTATGCCTGATCGGGTGAGTCACAACAAGAAAGCCTTTCGAGTCCGTTTCTTATTAATCTGAGGGGCTTTAGGCATTGTACACAGCAATATACTCAGCCTGGAGAGTACCCCCAGAGATTGTGTTCGCAAGAGGCGTGGTGCTCCCGTAGTTGTTGTTCGGGAATGCACCGCCAATCGCGAGATTCAGCAGGATGAAGTGGGGCGAGTGGACCGCCTGGGTCCAAACGTCTGCGGGCAAATCCGTCTCAACAACTTGCCAGAAAAGGATGCCATCAACGAACCATCGCACAGCCTCGAGCTCAGCGGTGCGGTCAACTTCGAGGGTGTAGGTGTGGAAGTTGCCCTGACAGGCACTGTTGGGGCATTCACGACTTCCAACGAGGCCATCAGTCTCTTTGCAGGGACCTCCGGGATTCACACCGCAGTGCATGACACCCCAAACGCGGTTGATGCCGTTGACGTTTTCCATAATATCAAATTCTCCAATGGCAGGCCAATTCCTTACATCAATGTCAGTACAGAACTTAAAACCACCCGCGTACTATTGTTACTCACCAATAGTTGCCGCGATATGCATTTCCCAGAGTCCAAAATGCTGGCCAATAGCCAATACCATTGCTACCAACAACGGGTAGATTAAGGCTAGCTTGGACACGCATCTTGCCACCAGCTTGAGCCATGAAGTCGCCACGCTGAGACTCAATACGAGCAGATGTCCACGAACCAGATGAAGCTTTGATGGCTGTAATCTGCAAGGCTCCGTTTCCGTTGAGGCGAAGATTATTGACACTGCTGGTATAAGTCTGGATTTCTCCGGTACCCCAGTTGGCAGGTCCACCAGGATAGGAAGTGCCGGTGTCGATGATCCAGTTGCCGGTATTGGGCAGACTGTTCGCAGAGCCGACAAAGTCGTCACTCCACGTGAGACTGAAGCCAGGAATTGTTGGGACTGCACCATGAACAGCGGTAAGGCCAACGGCAAGAGCCGCAACGACCTTGTTGATCGCCATTGAACTGAATCGTGATGGTGGCGTCGTAAATATCACCCGTAGAAGCCGTGAATCTAATATCGCAGAGAAGCAAGGTGCAATTAGAAATCAAATGAAGCAAAGTAGGTGTATATGAGTGATTTGGTTGTCCTCGAACCTGCATATTGATCGTCCTCATTTCTTGAGAGACTTCCTCTTATTTTATACTCTCGAGAATCTGTATCATGTCACCCTTCTGGTTGGCCTGCAGCCGTATGTCGTTGTCCTGGGCTTCATTTCAGCAAATTGGATTAACTGGGTCGGCAAGTACTAGAATCGACTAGCCCTACACGTATGGTGGTCCATTACAACACAACGCGGGGACCACTGCCGAGAACCCCACGATCCATGCATGGTGTTGTCTCCTTTCCACCCCACACGCGTTCACATGTCACTAGCGAACGATGGTAAAGTACACGGGCTGGAAACGGCCCTTTTCAACGAGTCACACCCTCCTGGAATGTTACCGTAAGACTTGAAGTTGGAGAGATCCATTGCGCAAACGGTGGACTGGAGAGGGTGGCCAATATCGATTCGTCTAGCCCCTAGGATGCCCAGACCGACAGTTCGTCTGATCTTGACTCCTGACAGGCATAGTAGCATCGGGGTTTCCCTTGGCAAGATTCTGAGTCGTCGTACCTACCCCAGGTATTTAATTGGGCATCAATTTTCAAAAGAGCACATACAGAGATGAGCTCTGATCCGGGCTGCTGAGAATGCTTGCGAGTCACATGCGGGCAGATCGAACGCATTTTATTTTTATTTCACCAGTGTCCAGGGAGACGCGTTTCGCAGTTGCTGAAGGTCAGGTGCGGCGTGCTAGATGAGTCTTTTAGAGCGACAGTATACTTCATACTGGCTGGCCAAAAAGGGAGAAAGACAATGAGACTTTTTTAGCGGAGACAAGAAGCCCATGATCCCATGTGGTGTTGAATGCAACCCCATACGTCGGCTGGATCGTCTTGTTTTTCCACCTGCTCGGCTCGGGGGTGTCGGCAGCGAGAGCGAGGGGGTCAGCACCTCCAGAGGTGGGTATCAGACTGTCTGTAAGCAGTAGTTGGGGTAAGCAGGAGGCAGAGGAGTGCCAACGATGCACACCCTGGTATATGCCAGTGTCAATCTGGTACACAGCACCAGGCACGCGAGACGCGAGACATTTGCAGGGCGATATGACGCCCCAAAATCACCTACTGCGGTAATAGCAAACGACCGTTTAAGCTTGTTTCCCCGTACCTGTCGATCGGTCAATTGTCGGTTTCTTACCCCTCATTTCACATGACTAGGGAGCATTCATATTCCTCAAACTCCCCCAGCTGCCCAATTCGGCTCAACGGCCGACCTTCTTCGGTGCTTTGCCGGCATCATTCAGATGTTTTCTCTGCTCATGAATGACCTTCTCGTTATTGCCCCGCTCGAAGCTTGCTCTCGAACCCCTGAGTCAAGCAGTCCAAGATCACGCGGGGACGCGGAGACATGAGCTGCTTTGGGGTTGACGAGGGTGGTGAGCAAGGACCAGCCCCGGCCTGAGATGCGGAGCACCACGCCCGCGGGACCGAGTGCACAGGGTTTGAAGTGACATGGCAGTAAAAACGAAGAGAGAAATTAAGAAGACCGTGGTAGGCGTAAAATTTCCCCACAACGGTCCGAATCTCGGTCTTGAAATGCCGCTGCGCCATCACGAGATCCAGGAGAGCTTCTAGTAAGAGATTTAGAGCCGAGACAACCTGCATGAGGATAAAAAATGGGGCTTTGGAAAGCATGGGGTATTGTGAGTGTCACATTTGACGCGCACCTATGATGATAGCTCAGTCAAGCTGGCGCTGTGCCTATGCTGAAGCTTTTCATGTGGACTCCATGAAGATTGCTCTCACTGATCAATTTTCGCTCGGTGTCATGTCGGTAGCAGGCAGAATATTCCAATGTAGAGGCACGCCGACGAGGCAAGCATCTGCACACGTGTCGAGAGGATGCTTTTACGTTGTCAGTTCTCCGGCCACCGTGTCACAGTTTAACAAGCTCCAGTTGGCAGATCCCATTACCCACTCGCAACGCGATGATAGCTAAACCTCCCCTGCGGTCATTAACCTATTTCATCGACAGGTCGTGCCGCAATGAGATATGTTCATCGTCTCGCATGACCGACTGTGCCCAAGGGAACGCGAACACAACGATTCGTCCGAGAAGCCTTTCAATACCGCGTGCCGTCTCCGGGCGTCATGCACACCTCGCCCGAAATGGGAATGCACGCAAAATTTCGGCCTTGAATCTCGCTTACACCCAGTGCACAAGCTGTTCATTATCAGGGTTTCGAGTGAATATTTCAAGAACATGAACATGAACACGGCCTGGTAAGTGGAGGTGCTTCGGTTCGTCCCGCATCTGACGTGCAGGCGTGGCGCAAAGCTGGACGACATGGTTTTGTGCCAACTATGCTTTCCATGATCGATGCGATTTGGGCCGTAAGATTTGATAGACACAAAAAAATCTCTTACAGTGCGTTGCGATTGCATAGAATTGGTTTCATCAGGCACGACCCTCCAGAACGATTTCACAATCTGTATTGCTGGCGAAGGTCAGTTCACCTTGGATGACGTGAGTTGGTAGATGATACTTGATCGTTCACTAAGGTGATTATCGTCGGAAAAGATGTAGAAATAACGCTATCCTGCGTCTGTGCTGCAAGAAGAGCGCCCAAAGTTCTTACAGCCTTCCGCTGGCGCAATGCCTCACGCATCAGTCTGAAGCATCGACCGCTGCGTGGACGGCGCAGTGATTAAACTACGGATCCGGTGGAAATGTGGTTTAAAAATTGTTTCGAGTCAGTGGAGGGTGCAAAATCCGTCCCCTGTCTGTGTTCAAGCTCAGTAAACTAATTGAATGTCAAACTCCGCAGGATGGAATCGGCGGGACTATTCCGCCGGTTTGAGGAGGCTAGACAAATCTTCGGCGTGGCTGGCAGTAAGAACCACCTCCGCCATACCTCGGCACAAATCTCAGATGCACCCAGATACATTAAACGGGCTGATTCTGATCCGATGCAGTGGGGGTTCCCCGTTTCACCGGAGACTCGGTCTTTGTAATCGGTTCTCTATTAAACTAGACTCGAATGACGCCTGGGGTTTCGATCTCCTATTGTGGGACTGTGGCGGCCTTGCGACGGCGTTTTGTCCATGGAAACAGCGGAGTCGAGATCTAACTCAATTGGAGTATCTCATAAGAGTGTATTGTGATTCATCATTCAAAATTCACCACAACCTCCTTTTTTCGTAGAAATCGGACTCAACTCATTCAGTACTTGGCTTCTTACTCTACATTCCAAGCGAAGCAGATTCGCAATTGACTTGACTCTAAGTAAGGTACTAGAAAGACCAACATTCGAACACAAGAACCATGTCAAACTCGGTAATCGCGAAGCCATTGACGTTGGCATGTGGTCTGAGTCTACCCAACCGCCTCACGAAAGCGGCGATGGCCGAGAACATGGCCGATGGCGAAGGATTACCTTCCCCTGCTTTCCACTCACCTTATGCTGAATGGGCCGATGGTGGTTGGGGATTGGTCTTGACTGGTACGCAAGTTGGCAGCTCTGGATTGATCAATCAAATACGGCGAATCAACTGACTAATTCACGTGGATAGGCAACGTGGAAGTTGACCAGAAGTACCTTGGTTCGCCCAAAGACATTGCATATAACGATTCAATCCCGTATGAGCGGCAGCTGGATGCCTGGAAGGCCTGGGCAAAGGTCTGCAACAAGAATGGCACCCCGACCATTGTCCAGGTCAACCATCCTGGCCGCCAATCTCCCCTTGGCGCAGGCAAGCGTGGCTTTTTCGAAAAGGCGATTGCACCCAGTGCGATACCTTTAAACTTTGGACAAGGTCTCATCGCGCGTCTTATCAGCTCTTTGGTCTTCGGTACTCCTCGGCAAATGACTGTTGCTGATATCAAAGATGTTGTTCGCCGCTTTGCCCGGACAGCTAAATTGGCGTCGGACGCCGGTTTCGCCGGCATGGAAATTCATGGCGCCCACGGCTACCTGCTAGCTCAGTTCATGTCCGAAAAAAGCAATGAGCGAACCGATGATTACGGCGGATCACCGGCCGCTCGTGTCAAGATTGTTGTTGAAATCATCCGGGCCATTCGTGAAGTGGTCCCGAAGACCTTCTGCGTCGGAATTAAATTCAACTCAGTTGACCATCAGTCCCAATCTGAGCTCGATGATTGCATCGAACAGCTCAAGTTGATTACTGATGCTGGGGTTGACTTTTTGGAGGTCAGCGGTGGCACCTATGAAGACCCTCTGGTAAGTGGCGACTAATCTTGTACCGAGAATGCCTTTGAAGTTTGGACTGGGATTTCAAGCTAACCAACGTACTCAATAAGATGGCTACGGGGGTTGCCGATGAAAAGAAGTCGGATCGCACAAAGGCGCGCGAAGCTTTCTTCCTTGAATTCGCCCGAGCGGTCCGTCGTGACTTCCCAGACGTTCCTTTGATGGTGACTGGTGGCTTTCGTAGTCGTCAGGGGATGGAGGCGGCCCTCGAAACTAGAGGCTGTGATCTTATCGGACTAGGCAGGCCTGCAGTGTTGAATCCCGCACTACCAAAGAATACCATTCTGGCAGCCACTGTCAAGGACGAGGACGCGAAGTTGTACGTGCGCAAGATCGAGGCGCCATGGTTCACTAAGAAGTTTGGACTCAAGGCGATTGGTGAGGGCGCTGCAACGGTAAGTCTCACCCCGTAGAGATGGAATATTGCTGCTTTTTGTGACTCGACTGACGCGCGTTCACTTAGGCCTGGTACGGCGCTGAAATACGTAAACTTGGAGGAAAGGCAGATTAGGAATTGGGATTCATTCAAACTATACCAAGAGTTTTTGATACCACCAACAAAGGCCGAGGAATCGCTGCGGATGTTTTCTTCTTGCACGTCTGTTCCTGATAAGCTACGCATGTAATTTGTGGGGAGGGTGAAGGAGGCCACAGCCTTAATGAAATGCACGATAGATTCTAATCACATTCAGTCTTATTCTCATGTTCTCGGCGTCTTACCTAAGATGCGTTGTGACATCTGCTTTTCATTAATCAACAAGTCTTGCCTTCCTGCTTCCCGGAAATATGGATGATCAATTTCGGCAAAGTTCACCTCCGGCCCAGAGCCAACGATTGCGGGCCAAGCTCCAAATTGCCTCTTCCCCTCATCCTCCGCACATCTCCTAGATTTCCGGGTTTCAATGGGATAACGGATTATTATCCTACACGCTGGGGACTCCAATTTCGATACCACCTTCCACAGACCTATGACTTAATTTCCAACATTGCGTTTGTTTGGAAGCAGGGGACAGGGGACTGGAGTAAGCCTCTACTACTTTTGGTCTGGGGGAATCGTTACGACCCTTCGGAAACTTAGGCACGCAGATCCTGCTTGGTCACCTATTTCCGAACTGAGAATATGACTGCGTGTATAAAGTAGCTAATCGGGACTTTGAAGTGTAACATCCCTTTGCGAAGACTACATTCCATGTCACAAATTCAACATGAAGATCAATATCTCGTCGTTACGGAACGTTGTAGCGTTGGCGGGGTTTGCTCGCGCGCAATTTCAAGACTTCTTCAACATTACAGAATTTCCAAAGGAGCAGAAAGACAACGTCACGAGATGGATGAACGATGCACGCACGCTTGCAGGCCCAGACCTTTACGCGTACTTTGCACACCGCTGCATTCTCGGCCAAGTCTACCCTGAACTTTCCTCCGCTACACAGATACCAGGGTTCATTGCCCCTCACGAGGTCTTTGACCGATTATACTATATTGGACAGAGCGCTGTCTCAGCATGGGCTTACGATACTGGCGATGGTCTCATAGTCTTCGATGCGCTCAACAACGCTGTCGAGGCTGAGGGCATTCTGATACCCTCTCTCGAGAAACTTGGATTTAGTGCCAGCGACATCAAACATCTCGTTATCACCCACGAACATTTTGATCATTACGGAGGGGCCCGATGGCTCCAAGACAACTTTTCCTTCGCTACATATGCCTCAGCTGCGGCTTGGGAAACTCTATCGCAAACTCAGGACGGACCGATCAAGGACAAAACCATCTCAGATGGTGACCAACTGACCATTGGCAATATCACGTTCAACTTCTTTGTGACACCAGGTCATACGCCAGGCACTGTGTCATCGATCTTTGAGGTGTCTGATAAGGGTGCAAAGCATGTCGCTGGGTTTTATGGCGGTGTTGGTATTCCAAGCAGTGCGTCAGCCAAAGACCAGCAAATCGTGTCTTTGAACCGGTTTGCGGACCTAGCAAAGGAGGCGGGCGTGGATACACTTATTGCCAGTCACCAGAACCAAGACCGAGCGCTTTATCACTTCGATCTCCTAGATCACAGACCAGACGGCACTGAACACCCATTTGTGATCGGCACAGACGCCTTCAATCGATATCTGAAAGTGAATGGACAGTGCGTGAGGGTTAAGGCTGCTAGAGATGGGCAATTTCTGCAAATCTAGTAATAAGTTTGTCCGAGACAGGAATGTCACTTGCAGACACATTACATATCTTTATTCACAAACCTCAAACTATCGGTGCTTTCCCCAATAAGGTATTGTACATTCAATTTTCTTCATGCACAGGAAGGTTGAGGTGCTTGAGTACATTATATACGGAGAGGTAAAATAAGAGAACCGAATTATCATGGACCTCTTGACATCTCATGCAGGCAGGCTTCCGCTGATGGACCAGTACACGTTGTAATTGAAACCTTGAGCATCGTAGAAGGGACCAAGGTTAACGGTCTTGCCACCCGCCGTCGCCGTGAAAGCCAATCCCGTCGTGCCAGTTCTCTTAACCGTGGCCAAGTTCATCGATGGGGTAGTAGATAGTGTTTCGCTTCCATAATTTCCACTCAGAATGACTGGTCCATAGGCGATTGCGGCGATGGTGGGGTTGTCGTTAGCAGGAATGACTTGCAGCTTCATAGGTAGCTTCACAACCACGGTATCGCCCGAGACCCAGGTACGGTCGATAGAGGCGTATGTTCCAGCGGCACTGCTTATGGCTTGGCCATTCACGGTAACTTGAGCTCCCGAAGCCCATGCTGGAATTCGGACACGCATGGCCCATTTACCAGCGCCCGCAACCTTTAGCGTCGTTGTGTCACTGCGGGGAAATTCGGTTGTTTGGGTGACAGTGACGCTACGCTGAGTCCATGTTAGAACTGAGGGTATGAAAAGGTTTACGTAGAGCGCAGAGTTGTCGTAAAAGTAGATGGAGTCCATGAGTTTTGTGTTTGTTTCCAGTCCAGTTCCTTGGCAGCACCAGAATGAGTCATAGTCCGTACTCCAGGTGCCTCCGCCCCAAGCTGGACCGACGCCACGACGTCCACCGGGGTTCAAAGGGGTGAAGTATGTGACATGCCCATGGCCATCAGATGGATTCTGCTGACCCAGCAAGTGGTTGAGTAAAGCACGCTCGTAAAAGTCAAAGTAACTCGTCGCACTCGGATTCGTCAACCAAAGCTCTCGCGTGAGCTTGAGCATGTTGTAGGTGTTGCAAGCCTCGCAAGTGTCCTGGTTCAAAAACCCAGCGATGGCATTGGGGAGCCGAAAGTGCTCCGCCTGACTGTTTCCGCCAATGGCGTACGAATGCGCGCTAACGGTGATGTTCCACGCGTTACGGGCGATGTCCTGGTATCGACTGGTCCCCGTTGCTTTGTACTCGCGGGAGGCACCAATCCATTTCGGAACTTGAGTGTTCGCATGCAAGCCATTAAGGCTATCCTGATTCGAAGCTAGAGGATCGAAAATGGCGGCATGGTCAAATCGCTGTGCGACAGTGAGCCATCGTTGATCCCCAGTTTGGTGGAAGATATCGGCCAAGACTTCATTCATTCCTCCAAACTCTGTAGCCATCATGGCTTGCATCTGGGCATACGTGAGCTTCCCCGTGCGGGAGTCGACCCACGCTGCCATCGCGAGGAGAACGTCTCGCGCGTTGGTGTCACCAATGTGGCGCCAAACGTCGAGCAAGCCAGCCATGGTCTTGTGAATGGCATAGTAAGGAACGTTGCCGTTGCTGAGACTGCGGTTCTCAACAGCAGTGATCTCAGACTCCGGAAAGCCAGAAAGGTAGCCGGTGGTAAAGCCGACTTTGCTGTTGTTGTCTTGGCACTTCTTCAGTTCGGCAGCAAAGTAAGTGGCCCTATTTTTGCACTCGGTGTCGCGTAGCTGTGCGTAGCAAAATGCCCATGCGTTCAGAAAGTGGCCTTGGAAGTGAGTTCTGAATGGAAAATCCGGGGCATCCCATCCGCCGTTCGTCGCCGCGTTGTTTGTTGACAGTCCATGGTTCTTTCGGAAGTTGTACAGCAAGCGCTCAACATCGACCCATTTAAGGTACGTCAGCGTGCGAGCCTGATTGTCGAAGAAGCGTCCACTGCTCAATGTGACCTGGCTCATGTCGAAAGCCCAAGCCGAGACACCCTTCTCTTGATTGACAGGAGGCACGGCTTGTGCGGTCACGCCCAAAACGGACGATCCTACAAGTATCGCTAAGGACGCTAGGCGTCCCAGGCTTTCTGTCGTAAACCACATTATCGCAACGAACTGGGCCAGAGCTGGGCACGGAAGTTTGATACCGAAAATTCAATGGAGGATTCGAGCTTTGGAAGCTGTCATTCTGTGCCGATGTGAGGCAGCAAAGAAGTGCCAATGATTGTTTTATAGTAATCGCTGAGTAAGTCAAACCCCCCACTTCCTGGCACCCCCCTGTTTCTGGCACCCACAAAAACGATGGGATCACAACCCAACCTCCTCATTACTATTAACTATTGATCCTCAACCACACCCACTACAATACAACTGCCAGCCTCACTAGGGCATTCAGAGTCGCTGGATTCAGCCGTAATAACCTCCTTTTCACCCGCTTCGATTTGAGCCCGATGGATATCCCTGATGTTCGCAAACTTCGTGTTGGGATCGATCTGAACAGTCTTCCTCTTCCTAACTGCAGCGTTGGTAACTTGAGCCCTCAGGTGAGCCAGCTGCTGCTGGGCAGCTGCCAGTTGCCAGGCCTGCTCTGTGAAGCCTTTTTTCACCTTCCTGAACAGCAGCCGTTGAGTGCTGGTATCATTGTCGAGTTGGGTGTATAAGTGCAGTTGACCGCTGAGCTCTGCCAGCTTCCTGGGTGTCGACCAGACCACTGCAGAGGAAGCAGAATCCCATGGCTCAACAGGGGTAGTTTGTTGACCATTATGGCATCGCTTTTTGCCCCGACTGGTTGGTTTGGGTGTGGTGGGCAGCAGGTAATACCATAGGGTTCATCAGGGCTTAACCATCGCTACAGGGTGTAGACCAGTCCACTTCCAACCACTTCTGATGTTCGAGACTGATAGACCAGCAAGTCGAGCCTTCTGGTAACAGTCCAGGAAGTTCCTTTTACCTATAATGGTAGAGTCGTTCCATTGAGACAAGTAACCGAGCTCCTTCCGATAGGCTGACTTAACAGGGCTGAAGACAGACTGGTCAAGTGGCTGGAGGACATGAGAGGAGTGTGGTGGTAAGAACAGTAAATGGATATTGTTAATATAGCAATTCCACATGAAGTCTGTCGTCGTATGACTCCATGCCCATCCACAATCAACAGTCGAGCCTCGCCCTCAGCCTCGGGCATAGTCTGTGGGATAAACACCTTCTCTAACCATTCAATGGCAGTTAAGTCTGTAGTCCAGCCATTATCTGTTGCTGTAAACTCCCACCCATCGTATGGAACCAGATGTAATGGAAACCACTGTTGTTGGACCGTCTTCCCTTGAAAATGATAAGAGGACGAAGTGCCCTACCCAAGGCTGAGATACACTCAATGATAGAGACCCATGCCCTCGACCCAGGTTGTTTCTTGCGAACAGACGTCGTCTCAGCCATGCCCAGCACTAACCCATTAGCTCCTGACCCTCGAGGATGCCAGTCTCATCCATATTATATCTGTTGGCTGGTTTGATGTCCTTGATCTCAGGGATAGCAAGGAACTTAAACCAGTTCCTAATGACCTCAGTAGATGCCCCATTAACGCGTCTAGAATCGATGGAACGACTTCTCTGAACCTTAATGATAGGGTTCCTTCTCACGAAGGCATAGATCCAGCCTTTTCCTAATGGTTTGGTATCCCCAGCAGCAGCCAGAACTCGCTCTGCGAATTCCTTCACCTGTTGGTGCGTTGGTGCGAGGCCCAGCGAAGCCTGAATGCGAACCCATTGTGCCAGCTTACTCTCCTGGTCAGGAGACAGCCTCTGCCAGTCAGCAAAAGCCACTTTCCTAGTCTGACCACCTTGGAGACGTAGTTGGAGGGTTGATCGTGGTATCCCATACTCCAATGAGGCTCTCTTTTGACTCTTGCCGTTTGAGATGTCCTCGAGAGCCTGACGAAGCTGATCTTCGGTATATTGAGGCATTAGATATAGAAGAAGGTATGTGCAAAAAATGAGCCCATTTGGACTCGAATTGAAAATGTTGTGATAAAAGGAGGTTGGGGGTGGGCATTGCGTTGTGGTGGATTTTCGCGTTTTTGTGGGTGCCAGAAACAGGGGGGTGCCGGGAAGTGGGGGGTTTGACTTACCTTGAGTAAAATTGAATCAGCCCGCCGTCCTGATGCTTCCCCATGGGGAGCAACAGCGTCCTTACACGAGGCAAACCTCGTGATACTGCATACCCCACTATCAGCTCGTTCAACGACTGGTGCGCATGGTCGGTTGCGGAGGTGAGGTTACACTCATGAACTGATGGTATGTTAAGCGCAGACTTGTGCAGGCTGGCCCCTAGTTCGCCTTCCCCGCACGATAGAGTGGATGCTGACCACAAGTCGATTGGCGCGGTACTTCGAAGCTTTTCTCGTAGTTCATGATTAGCCAAGAAAGATTCTCCGTGAGGTTTTTCATTGGATGTAACCGTTGGTGGTTAGTATGGAAGCGGACCGAGAACGGGGAATAGCGTAACAGTCAATGTTCTGTTGTAACCACACCCTAGGCGATGGAATTCCAAAGTGCAGTGCAGGTCATCTTGAGGGTGCATCATCTAAATGTTGAGCGAAAGGAGGTCTGCCCATTCTATCAAATTGTTAGTCGGTCCACTCGTGGTGCCGGCACAGCCGATTCAGTGGCATGGTGGATGCTGTAGGCGAACGATAATTGGGACGCATGTCCTTAGTCTTTATCCATGAGTTAGCCACTTTATATCAAGAATACTCGGCCAAGTCCACAACGCGACTTCGTCCCCATAACCTCAACTCTCATTAGGCTGCTACGACTCCAGGAAGGAAGGAGGACATGACCTGGGTTACAATTCAAGCGCGTAAAAGCGCACATCCCTTTTGGGAAATTGGTGATTTCCAACGTAGGTTGTCGATCTCACTTAGAGCGATGTTGAGATGATGAGAGTGAAACCCTGACGGCAGGTAATTTTCGTTGTGATACTGGCAAAATAAAACTTTGCCAACCTCCTAAGATGCCCAAAGTGCTCTCGGAACAGCCTTCTCCGCCAACCTCTCGACTTGATGCGGGGCTAACGATATCGATGACTTTGATACCACCCGTTTAGAGCTGATACTTCTTCAGTCGACTGCGTAATTAGTCGGCGACTTTTGCAAAGACAGGGATGCTTACACTCCTCAGGTTTGATCTTTTTCAACACGCCGACTAGTTGAGTATGGTGGAACATGTTTCGACGTCTAGGAGGCTGACTGATACATAAATTGGTTACTATTGGTTAAAAGTTACATAAATATGATGCCAAATGGCCGATATGTGTCCCAAAGTCGATACATAGGCCTCTGATTATATCTTAATGTTTTCAATCAAGTACAGGGGGAGGGCTTTGAAAAGGGGTTATACAGGCATGTTGGAATTATACATATTCTACAACTTTCCTTTGTGGTAGATTTCTAACTATGTATAGACGTCATGCCGTAGTAATGGGATAGTGCATTGTTGCATCATTGAATCTTCTGCGAAGCAGATTTGCAGGGTGTCTCATCCATAGATACATATGACAAGCGGATGTACTGTAATCACCGTTGCCTAGTGGTATTGGTGCCCTACATTGGTAAGTAGCGCCACATGTAGCGTGACGACAAGTTGCAAAATCACAGTCGCCGAATGGCAGCATGTGCCCGCAATGAGCCCTCGTATCAGCCGTTAATGAACTGGATGGATGGGTCACTGTCAAACTCAGTTCCAATCTGTCTCTCAGTGAAATGCCAATGAGATGCTTGCATTGTGACAGCGCGAGACCTGCGCATACCATCATAACGCTATCGCGCCTCCAAACCATCTGTTCAGGTGATAGGCCTTTTTCTTGCTTGCTTCTGAGTTTGAGCTTATAGGCTCATAGAATCTTTGTGAATGGTCTCTCAACATGCTTACAACGAGTCCATTTATACTATATCATGTGAAATAGGTATTAGCAACAAGTTTCTCCAAAGGCGGTAACTGCATGATGAAAGACCACATGTCGGCTACGTCAATGGTCACAATAAAAATGATGAATTCATGTTTCGCGAGGACTTAGCTAGTGACGTCATGCCTCCCGAACTCAAGTTGCCTGCACTGGAAATATCTGTTTGACCCTGCGTCAGCGACCATCGTCGTCTGAGATGCCTCAACAAATGCCGACAAGATTCATCAAGGCGGCGGCCATGGAAGACTTGACGTAGACACAACATATCGATGAAGCGGCTCATGAAATTCAGGATTGGGGTTTCTGCAACTGCTAAAGGTTTCCACTAGAAGGATTTAGATTTAGGCCTTGCGTGAAATAAATATGAAATACTAGGTCAACAAACGAAAGATCTGCTACTACTTCTAGATGGCCGGCTCTTCGTAACTCAGCTGACTTAACGAGGTACCAACAACCAATGATGTGACTTCACTTCCAACTCAGCATCAAAGTTGCCCGATGGATTTTCACTCGCTGTTCGAGAATACAACTCTACCTGGTGTTATACCAATAGCGATCGAATTGCATGGCGGTTTTCGTATCGAAATCACGATATTGCGTTGAGCGCGTGCTTGGGGCACATTGCGCGTATTGTGTAGTTAAAAAGTGTACCGTATCGTGTGATTTCCCTTGAAAGCGCGATCCCGTTAAGGTCGATCTTTTGCGCCTGTAAAGCCGGAAAAAAAACCACCACACATACTAATAGCGATTACAGTGTCCACGATCTGCTCGGTTCGAGTTGGACTAACCTTTTTCGGTTTCTCAATTCGTCGAACTCAAATGCTTGATTAAAGCCTGGCTGGAATTGACTAGGCTACAAGAGGAGAACATGCTCTCAGCTTCGAAGGTTTTGTTCAACTCAATCTCGAAGTCTGTTGGGTGTTATTGGATTGGGGGCTTCCAACAATTTCCAGCCTTACAACATATCAAAATAATATAAATTATGGAGATGTACGTCTATTCGCAATCGAATCCCTTGACCAAGCGCTGTGAACGGCCTCTTGAGTACATTATTAGCCCAGACTCTTGAGTCCTTACATGATCATTGAGGTTAGCAGGCCTATAGCCACCGAGAAAGTACTATCTTTGAACAATTTCGTTGAATTCAGTGCTTACTTGACCGGGAATATCCATACAAGTAGCACAATCTGGCCGTGAGAACATGGGTGAAAGATTAGCATAGGTAGTTGGTGGGCTCGATCGGAGTTCACTGGTCCCCCGAACCGAACCGAGCCGAAGAACCGGTCCGGCGGGAATCAATCCCCGACTATCTTGCGGTGCGGGCTCGAAGTGTGTGGGGCCGGAGCTTCACAATTCAAAAATGAAGAGATTCAACCTATATCTAGTCATCCACACCAGAAAATACTACAAAGACGCATGGACAGAACGCGACCAACACATTATTTCACTGCCTTAACGTATTGGGTGTTCTGACTGCAAACCCCACGCCGACAACTAAAGGCTATAAGCACCTGTCTAACTCAAACCATACCTCCGAAAACCAAAATGGCAACGCGAACACAGACTGTCGATCCAGTAGATGTGAAGAGGACCTTTGCTGCTCAGTTCGAGAGCAAGGATCTCGTCACATTTGACGCAGGCAAACACTACGGAGATTGGCGTGATGAGTTCCATCAAAATGGCTGCGTCATCATTAAGAATGTCATCAGCAAGGAGCGTGCTCAGTACTATTGCGAGAAGCAAATCAAATGGTTGAAGAAATTTGAACTTGGCTTTGACGAAAAGGATCCTACTACATGGACTGCGGATCACCTTCCAGTCAGTTTCAAGGGAGGGTAAGGTGAACCCCTAATTAGTCGATGAAGGACGGTTGGGACTAACATCTCTTATTATGATTGTAGCATGTATTCTGCGTACGGTGCGTCACATGAGCAAATGGCATGGGAGGCTCGTATGGAGCCAGCCGTCATCGAAGTGTTTGAGAAGCTTTGGGAAACCAATGAACTTATCACGTCTTTCGATGGCATGAACATTTCACTACCAAATCGCAAGGATATTGTGTGGAGTCCATGGCCGCACTGCGACCAAAATCCAGAGAGAAAAGGGTCAGTCGCATTATGAGAAAAACGTCCCAAAGCTCAAACTAATTTTAAGTAGCATGCAAGCTGTTCAAGGGCTTTTGAATTTCGCACCAAACGGCCCAAATGATGGTGGGCTTGTTCTGATGCGTGGCTCAGCTACGCTTTTCGACGAATTCTTCGCCCACAAGCGCGAATCCGCCAACCATGAGGATGCCCCACCCCCAGAGATAAAGTTCATGGACCTTTTTCTCTTCAATGAGAAGGATGTCAAATGGTTTGAAAGTAAGGGGTGCGAACTCTTCAAGGTGAACATGGCACCCGGTGATTTTGTATTGTGGGATTCGCGGACCATGCATTACGCCCGATTCCCCGAAGGTGATCAGATCAGACACGTGCAGTACATTTGTATGACACCACGAAAATTCGCCACGGATGAAGCTTTGGAGGCAAAGAAATATTGCTTCGATAATTGGTTTGGCACGACACACTGGCCTCACTGGTAGGTTTGAGACCATCCAAATCTTCTGGTGATCCCCCGCGCACCCGCTCACAAGGATTAGCAATATTCGCCCATCACAGGATCCCCCCAAAAGAAACGGCGAGGTCTGTCCTAAGCACCGTATAGAGCCCTTCGAGAAGCCTCAGATAACGGATAAGCTGCTACAGTTGGCTGGAGTGAAGGATTATTAGTCATTGCACACAGAATCTGGGATTCAATATTGAGAGAAGATCTCAGGCACTCAGTGCATACTTCAGTGACAGAGCTCACCATCTGATTGCTGTCAAGCTACCAAGTGACCAAGATAATGGAAAGATGGGATAAGAATGTACTTCAGCGTCCACACCGCCGTGACATGTTGAATTATATAGTTTGCAGTGACAACAACCCAATTGAAATCGCAGTGGCAGCACTGCAAGTTTCAGACATCGTCCCCGATGGCCACTTGCAAATTGCGCAAATGAAGTACTTCGGAAGGAGTAAGTTCGTGAAGTGCTTCAAAGTACTTGACTGTGGAGAAATCAAACCAGACTCCGAGTCAGCCCCGTGGACAAGGCTTAGCGAAACCAAAGGCGTCGTGTTGAGTCTTGAGGCCGGCACGATAGGTAAAGACAATGGCGGACTTTCCAACGCTTTGAGTTTATTAGTCTGGACGCTATGTGCGACGGCTTGCGTGCACAGCATCCCATGACACGTTCTGTGCGACTCACATTCAGGCTTGCGGCAGCCTATCTTGCCAGAATTCCAAGAGGACTTGACGTGCATTTAGTCAAAGACAACACTCAGTTTCCTTGCATGAAGTCGGTTGCAATGCCTGGACCAAGACCTTACAGTACGGAAAAGATATGTGCCTGGGGCTGTCATTACAACAAGATTTACGACCCGCTCTAAGTGACTTTCCATCGGCCAAAAGAGCATGCCATCACATGGCATTGGTCCATGTAGCTTCAACCTTTGCCAAACGAGACTGGAAGTTTCTGTTCTGGCTGGGGATAACTCAAGACGCGATATTGTCTTGAAAGTAGCCAACTACAAGTGTCCCCAACTGACCAGAACCGCGTGGTCGGCACGGTGGATAGATTGAAAAGGATCAAAACGTGGCTAACTTGGCTTGGCGCCGTCTTCGGCCTATCGTTTAGCTCCAACACACGGAAGAATTGACGGAAGATATATTTCCACCAGTCAAGCGTTAGACGTCAATATGAATCGGGGCGGAAGGTGTGAAAGCGACGAACCATTATCCCCGCAAGCCCGCGTGAACCCCCACCTCCAAACCCCAGGGCCGCCATTTCCCCACGGGCAATAAGCCGGAGAAGTCGCACTTCGGCGGGAACCCCGCGAAATCGAAGTTAACAATTTTGGGCTTCTGAACACCGTCACAGCTTGGATTCTCTAACTTGGTAACTTTATATTATACCTCCCTGAGCTTTTTTCAAGGATCTATATGTTTGAAAGTAGCCCAGATGGTATTCAAAAGTGCCGTGAGCATTAATTGGGCTAAATGAGACTTATAGAGCACGGTTCGAGCTGCAGAGCTGATATCCGAACCACTGATCTGTTAACCGAACCGCTATTACTGTTAGTACTAGAAGGAAATTGATACCAGTGTGGAAGCACCCCGCACTCTGTGCGCGACTCATGGAACCCACTGTGATGTAGTCTTTGTCCATTCCTGGCTGGACCTATGAACTCGGGGAGGGTGCGCCAAAGCTTGCCTAGCTCGCCCAAAAGACACCTCGACGATCCATGGCGGGAGTTGCCCGAAACCGCGGAGTCGGTAGCGGGAAAACAGCACAAGGCTATTTGAAGCGCTCGCTTTCAGATATTCGAGTACTTGAGGAAAGAATATCCTCTTCCAGTCTCCCTCGAGGTTGCAAGTACATGTAAGCTTCAGGTCTTCACAGCAGCTAGACAATCCAGAAATATCTTTTCACCGAGTAGTTTTGAGAAAAACTTCCAGTCGAGCTCGCGACTTGCTGTTAACATGGTCGACACAATTCCGGACGTCGCGGACACCAAGTCGCGCAAGAGCGATGTTGAACATATCGAGCAAGATCTCCAAAAACCGCAGCTTTTGCAGGAAGACGGCCAGCCAGAATTCCCAGAGATCTATCTTGAAGCCCTGGCACGGTACCCAAATGACGAATCAATTGATCAAGCCGATGAGAAGCGTCTTCTCCGCAAACTCGACATGCGGATCTTGCCACTTCTTGGAATCTGCTACTTTTTCTACTACGTCGACAAGACTACTCTGTAAAGCCCTCATTCCTCAAAACATAAATCCCCGGGCTCTTTGTAGCTTTTAGCTGATCATACCACAGATCTTACGCAGCGATTTTCGGGTTAAAGGACGGTCTCAACCTGAAAGGTGAAGAATATTCATGGCTTTCCAGTTGCTTCTACTTCGGCTGGCTCGTCTGGGCTATCCCGTCCAACCTTATTATGCAGCGCTGCCGCCCAGCTTGGTATCTCTCTTTCAACATCTTCATGTGGGGTGCCCTTCTTATGGCCCAGGCCGCGGCTAAGAACTTCGGCGGTCTTCTCGCCCTCCGCGTACTTTCCGGTGCCTTCGAGGCCATCGCAGATCCTGCTTTCATGTTGATCACATCGATGTACTACACCCGATCTGAGCAGCCCTCCCGGATCTCAGCGTGGTATGCTTGGAATGGAATTGGTGTTGCGGGTGGCGGTCTCATTGGTAAGTTTGGACGATTCTCACGCTGTACATCGTGCTCTCTTAATAACTTTTCACTGACGATATTCGTTCTAGGATACGGTATTGGACACATTAAAGGCGCCCTGGAGTCGTGGCGCTACGAGTTCCTTGTTGTCGGTGCTTTCTGTGCGTTCTGGGCACTCATTCTCGCTCTCTGCCTCCCCAACTCTCCGCGAACCATCTGGGGCTTCAGTCACGAAGAAAAACTCATCATGATTGCTCGCATGCGTCGCAATCAAACGGGCATTGAACAGCGCCGTATCAATTGGGGACAAATCAAGGAGGCTTATATGGATTACAAAACTTGGCTTTTCACCTTGTTAGGCTTCGTCTCCAACGTTCCTAACGGTGGCATCTCCAACTTCTCCACACTTGTCATCAAGGGTCTTGGCTTTGGGACGCTTGAGACGGCGCTGCTTGGCATCCCGCAAGGCGCTCTTGTGGTAATCTGGATTGGTCTTGGTGCCTTGGCGAACAGGTATATGCCGGCCAACAGTCGTACATTGGTTTGTGCTCTTTTCATGCTGCCAACCATTTGTGGTGCCTTGGGATTCCTTCTTGCACCAGCCAATGCCTACATCGGCCGTCTCATTTGCTTGTAAGATGCCTTCTCACATACACTATCGCGAGATGGACACTGACCTTCATAAGCTATCTTACTGGTTCATACCAGGCGTCCTTCGTCATCTCTCTCTCCCTCATCACATCGAACACTGGCGGTCAGTCCAAGAAGATGATTGTCTCCGGCATGATTTGGTTCGGCGCTTGCATCGGCAATATTGCAAGCCCGTTTTTTTACAAGACGAATCAGGCACCCTCGTATCACCTTGGTATTGGTTCGCTCTTGGTTGCAAATTGCATTGAGCTTGCCCTTTTCTTTGTCTTTCGGTATGCCTTTATCTGGGAGAACAAGCGCAAAGAAAAGCAAAGAGAGACTTTGCGTGCAAATGGCAACTATACCGCCGACGAGCTCAATGCCACAGCATTTACAGACATGACTGACAAAGAGAATCCCAACTTCATATACGTATATTGATTAGGGCGGTGCTGGTCTCGTTGTTCTGTTGATGTGGGAAACTATATGGTAGATCTCCAAACGTAGCGGACAAGAACAAATCCAATGTTGAGACTTGTGTAGCCACATACTAGATGACTTAATCAATTTCAATGACGGCCCGTCCCGTATGTTGACGGATTTAAAATCTTATCTAAAAAGAGTCCGCCTAGACGCACGATTGTTAATCAGAAGGCAGGATAGTCATCTCGAAACAAACTTTGAATTCAAAACTGTCCGACATGCCGAGTTAGGAAACAAATCACCGAGCCCCTATCTACTACAGAAGCAGGACGCCTAAGCTTTCGAAATTCATTATTCTAGCCGCTTATGTCAGCGGTTCGCCACTAATAAGGTTCCGCTCGGAGCTACTTTCAGGCGGAAATCCTTGTCCAAAGCGGTAACGTTTACCGCTGTCTGACTGTAAAACGAGACGAAGTGCTCACCAGCTGACGTTTTTATGGATTTCAGCCAAGAGTACCGTGAACTAGAACTTCTATCTAATATCAGATGCTGTTGAAGGGTATTGAAGGCTTCAATAGCTTAGTTTTACTGACACATGTCCCCCGGTCTTGCCCAGCCTTGTCAAAGTCAGGTAATCATCTCGGCTGCTGGGCCCGTAGAAGGCCCGAACGGCACTTGGTGACTTCCGGCTTCCCATACTTAGGTACGAATCAAAACTGTACTAAAAAGCAATATTTAAGCTCTCTTGATAATCTTCGACTGACGAACTTGTCTCAACTTCGTCACGAACTCTCCTTTTCCCATCACAAGGCGTCATCTCACTCACTCTGTAGCAAGAAATCTCATTGTCACGTGAAATTCCTCAAAAATGTCTCTATTCATCAAACCCACGCCGAAGAGCATTCTCATTTTTGGAGCAGCCGCTCATATTGGCAGGCCCTTGGCCGAATTTCTCACTCGAGAGGCTCCTGATATCAAACTGCGACTGGCGACAAGCAGCCCGGGCAAGAAAATACAGCTTCAAGGTGCCTTTCCAAACGCCGAAGTTGTCGAGGCCAACTATTCAGACGTTACATCCCTCTCCGCCGCCCTCATCGACATTGAGGGTGTTTTTGTCATTACTCCAGGAGGTCTGTCGGAAGAGAAGGCCATGACGAACTTGGTCACCGCCCTCAAGCAGGCTAAGAACATCATACACATCATTCGTCTGATGGGAGTTTTCCCAGAGATCTCGCCTTCACAAATTCCTACCACCCTCGGTCCAGGATCCCTTCCAATCGAACACCCAATCGCCAAGCGCATTCTCGATGCAAGCGGACTGCCTGTAACCTACATCAACTCCGGAGCAACATTCATGGACAACTTTTGGATCCAAATCAAGTCAGTCATTGCAAAGAAGACCCTGATCTGGCCAGAGCATCGTGTGCCCTTTGTGGACCCTCGTGACATCGCAGAGGTTACAGGCAGACTGTTCTTGTCCAACAATGCGAAGCACATTGGTGCATTCCACACAATGAACAATGGTCATGACTGGCTCACGTTCGAGGAGGTGGCGGCTATGTTGTCCGAAGTACTGGGTGAACCGATTGCGTACGATGGAAGCCTCGAGGCATTTTCTGCTTTCTATGGATCTATTATGGGACCTCACTTGGTGCAAGCCATGTGGAACTTTTTTAAGTATGAAGAAGCTCATGAGGAAATTTGGTCATTGAATAACTTTGCGGAGAGGACCCTTGGAAGGAAGCCTACAACTGTCAGAGATTGGCTCGAGGAACACAAGGATGTATTGAAGACAGGTACCGGAGATGCCCCTTGGGCTTCAAAAGCGTAGAACAATTTGTGTCGCTTGATAAAGCCTTCAGTTTCAAGAGTGGTAGTAAATGAACAACCTAATTTGCTATCCATAGCAATGAATCTATCACACGAGCTTTACGTTCCCAACGGCCTCTTGGTTACATCTCTCTCGCCATTGACTAGTTTCGGAATTCAGCAAACGGAGATAATAGCCGTCATACCATAGGGAGCAACAAAGAATGCAATGTCCAAGCTGACTTCCAAAAGTCAACTACTCATACGAAACAAGACCTGAGTAAGCATATATCAACGCTGATTCATATCGATAGTTGCGGTGATCGGATGATCTCAGAAGGTCAGACTCTCTCGGTCCGATGATAGCATTGAGCGACTAAAGGGGAGGTCTGTAAAGTGCGAGTAGAGAATGCTCCCCTTTAACGTAGGCTGTCTTCGCTGCGTTCCCGCCTGTTATATGACTTTGATCGAATACCCGTAGATGGGTGCCACATGCTCAGAGTTATCTCAATTGGCCGTAATTAGCCCTACTGCCAAATGCGACTTGGGTTCAGCTCTCATATCTCCAATGGCTGAAAAATGAGCGAAGTTGAACTATGAGATCGCTCTGGACGTGTCGCTAACATTGATACATGCAGATGAGAGTCTATGACCGTCCACGATTCAGGGCTAGTAGGAACGCGTCCCCATCATCAGCCGATGTTTAGGTCTGCTCCTGAGTTAAAAGGAGCACACGACACTGCAAACAAAAGGTCCAAGTTGTTATTCTTGAAAATGCAAAAGCCGTGGATTGATTGGTGGGGTTAGATTCGATCAGCCAAGACACTTGACAAAAAGAGCCTTGAGAAACTCAACGGCAGGCAAAACCCCGACGCCCGCTGCATAAGTCGCAAAAGGGCGTCAAATTAGCCTTGAGTAGCACGTCAAGAGGTATTGCTAAAGCCTCATCATGGCCTCCTTTATTAGCAATTAGGACTCGGGGGGAAGGTTGGGGCGGCGGTACGCTAGCAAATAAGTGGACTGAGTCACACTGGGTCGAGTCAACTCAATGAATCGTAGGGGAGGATGGCGGGGGAAGCGTTCCCGCCCCGGCTGGGTTCCGCTGGGGAACTAATCTTGGGGCCGAGTTCGGAGACCATCGGCTAGGGACGGACGATCCCGACCGCGGTGAATTACCTATAATAGCGAGAATGCCCTTTGATCCGCAGCTGAGAACGGCAGTTATCTGCGACCTTGCCATTTCTCAAATGATACCGCCTCTCAAATCTCATCTTTTTTCAAAAGGATCCTTCATCGTCGATTCGTTGCTCCCGGAGGTTTCGCCTCTTCCTCCTGCAGTCTACAACCGCACTTTCGAAATCATTCTTCCCGTCGGAATTTCGCAGAATGGGTGAAAAGCCAGAAGCCGTGCCCCATGAGCCGCCGACACCAAAAATATGCAACACACCTCCAGAACACTCTCGCAATACCGAGACGAGCACTGAGAGAATGGCCACCCACAGCAGCATCGAGAGAAGCGCATCGCAACCAAGTAGAATAATTGATACGCCGCCAGATGGAGGCGCTAGAGCGTGGATGGTAGGTAAGTAAGAGCAGCAACGCGCAAACGTTGTTACAAACCGTACATTATTGATAATGTGACAGTCTTCAGCACGTTTTTAGTTGTTATGAACACCTGGTTCGTGGTTTAAATCTTGTTGTCGCATGATTTGGGGTGCTAACACATGGTAGGGGGGTTGCAAACTCCTTTGGAGTCTTCCAGCCATACTTCACCAGTGTCTTTTCGCGGCCACAGTCTGATGTCTCATGGATCGGTTCGTTTGAAGTATTTCTGCTCTTTTTCGTAGGAACATTCACAGGACGATGGACAGATATGGGATTTTTCCGTCCCTTGTTTATTGCCGGCTTCTTCCTTGTCATTTTGGGAATGGTTGCTGCCTCGTTTTGTACTACGTACTGGCAGTTTTTCCTTGCCCAGGGTATCTGCCTCGGGCTCGGAAATGGTTGTCTGTTCTGTCCCTGCATGGCAGTGACCTCTACGTACTTTGCAAAACGTCGCTCATTAGCGTTTGGCCTCACAGCTGCCGGGGCTGTTGTCGGAGGTCTTACTATACCAAGCATGGTTCGACAGCTTTTGCCTAAGATTGGGCTTGGCTGGACTATTAGAGCAATTGCCTTAATTCAGGTCGTGACCTTGATTGTTGCTGGCCTACTGATCAAGACTAGGATTCCACCACGGCAGGCAGCACCTCTGGTAGAGTGGGCAGCCTTCCAAGAATCAGAGTATAGTTTCTATGCTATTGGGGCGTTCATGGTAAGCATCTTGATCCAGAGCGAGCATAAAGCACTAAAAAATATTCAGTGCTTCTGGGGAACCTACTTTGCCTTTCACTTTCTTGCGGCCTTCTCCCGGGACATCTTGGGACTATCTTACACAGACTCACTTGACCTGCTGTTGGTTCTCAATGGTGTGGGTGCACTCGGAAGAATCATTCCTGCCCAAATTGGGGACGTTATTGGCACTATTAACATTTTTGCCCCAATGGCGTTCATGACCGGGACCGTCATGTTTTGTTGGATTGGCGTGCAAAACACAACTGGGCTCTATGTCTGGACGGTTTTCTATGGCTTTGCTGTTGGTGGAGTCCAGTCTCTATTTCCATCCGTGCTTAGTAGTTTGACTACGGACCCTCAAAAGCAGGGTACGAGGATGGGTATGGTCTTCACGGTGGTCAGCTTCGCATCCCTCACTGGATCGCCGATTGCAGGAGCCATTATCGATGCGATGGGGGGGAGATATGTTGGCGCGCAAGCGTTTGCCGGTTGTTGCATGATTTTGGGAATGGCATTCGTTCTTTCTGCACGGATTTGCAAAACGCGGAAGATGGGAGCGGGGACATTCGCCTTCATCAAAGTTTGATATGACCTCTGCGAGATCCTCATCGAGTACTTGCATGGTGTCTAAACGGTCATAACACTACGGGAACACGGCAATCGCAGACTACTTGGAATTTAGTGGTAGAATTCCATGCGATTCATACATGCACAGGTTAAGTCAAACCCCCCACTTCCCGGCACCCCCCTGTTTCTGGCACCCACAAAAACGCGAAAATCCACCACAACGCAATGCCCACCCCCAACCTCCTTTTATCACAACATTTTCAATTCGAGTCCAAATGGGCTCATTTTTTGCACATACCTTCTTCTATATCTAATGCCTCAATATACCGAAGATCAGCTTCGTCAGGCTCTCGAGGACATCTCAAACGGCAAGAGTCAAAAGAGAGCCTCATTGAGTATGGGATACCACGATCAACCCTCCAACTACGTCTCCAAGGTGGTCAGACTAGGAAAGTGGCTTTGCTGACTGGCAGAGGCTGTCTCCTGACCAGGAGAGTAAGCTGGCACAATGGGTTCGCATTCAGGCTTCGGCCTCGCACCAACGCACCAACAGGTGAAGGAATTCGCAGAGCGAGTTCTGGCTGCTGCTGGGGATACCAAACCATTAGAAAAGGCTGGATCTATGCCTTCGTGAGAAGGAACCCTATCATTAAGGTTCAGAGAAGTCGTTCCATCGATTCTAGACGCGTTAATGGGGCATCTACTGAGGTCATTAGGAACTGGTTTAAGTTCCTTGCTATCCCTGAGATCAAGGACATCAAACCAGCCAACAGATATAATATGGATGAGACTGGCATCCTCGAGGGTCAGGAGCTAATGGGTTAGTGCTGGGCATGGCTGAGACGACGTCTGTTCGCAAGAAACAACCTGGGTCGAGGGCATGGGTCTCTATCATTGAGTGTATCTCAGCCTTGGGTAGGGCACTGTCCTCTTATCATTTTCAAGGAAGACGGTCCAACAACAGTGGTTTCCATTACATCTGGTTCCATACGATGGGTGGGAGTTTACAGCAACAGATAATGGCTGGACTACAGACTTAACTGCCATTGAATGGTTAGAGAAGGTGTTTATCCCACAGACTATGCCTGAGGCTGAGGGCGAGGCTCGACTGTTGATTGTGGATGGGCATGGGAGTCATACGACGACAGACTTCATGTGGAATTGCTATATTAACAATATCCATTTACTGTTCTTACCACCACACTCCTCTCATGTCCTCCAGCCACTTGACCAGTCTGTCTTCAGCCCTGTTAAGTCAGCCTATCGGAAGGAGCTCGGTTACTTGTCTCAATGGAACGACTCTACCATTATAGGTAAAAGGAACTTCCTGGACTGTTACCAGAAGGCTCGACTTGCTGGTCTATCAGTCTCGAACATCAGAAGTGGTTGGAAGTGGACTGGTCTACACCCTGTAGCGATGGTTAAGCCCCTGATGAACCCTATGGTATTACCTGAGCCTTCTGCTAAGCCCACCACACCCAAACCAACCAGTCGGGGCAAAAGCGATGCCATAATGGTCAACAAACTACCCTGTTGAGCCATGGGATTCTGCTTCCTCTGCAGTGGTCTGGTCGACACCCAGGAAGCTGGCAGAGCTCAGCGGTCAACTGCACTTATACACCCAACTCGACAATGATACCAGCACTCAACGGCTGCTGTTCAGGAAGGTGAAAAGGCTTCACAGAGCAGGCCTGGCAACTGGCAGCTGCCCAGCAGCAGCTGGCTCACCTGAGGGCTCAAGTTACCAACGCTGCAGTTAGGAAGAGGAAGACTGTTCAGATCGATCCCAACACGAAGTTTGCGAACATCAGGGATATCCATCGGGCTCAAATCGAAGCGGGTGAAAAGGAGGTTATTACGGCTGAATCCAGCGACTCTGAATGCCCTAGTGAGGCTGGCAGTTGTATTGTAGTGGGTGTGGTTGAGGATCAATAGTTAATAGTAATGAGGAGGTTGGGTTGTGATCCCATCGTTTTTGTGGGTGCCAGAAACAGGGGGGTGCCAGGAAGTGGGGGGTTTGACTTATACCATCGAAACGAGCTCATAATCTGGGTCATGTCTCTCTGCAATGAACCACCGTGATACGAAGGATCATGCATGTACATTTGAGTTCGACCTAGCGGTGTCGCATGAAAATATCGAGGAGGAGTCTGACTTTGAAAAATCTGAAGAACTGGGAGCTGGCACATAAGGTATTCAAGTGACAATCATTCCGCTGTGTCATTGATCATCTTGATCCGAATTTAATACATAAACTCTCTACAGTCTTCTAGAGTACCTTTGAACTGTCGTGGATTGACCAACTCTAAGCCATGATACTCCTGCATTCTCATGCAAGTACCTCGCCTGTCAGGAAGATGGGCTGCTTGTTGGAGAAGTTGGGAACGTCTCCCATAATCCCAGCAGCCTCAGGCCCAGCGAAAGCAGCCTTGATCTGCTGGAGGCTGTCCCAAGTAACGGTTGATCCAAAGGCGTACAATGGCGGAATACCGTCAGCGCCAGGTTGGAATTTCGTTACCGACCAGGACGTGACGCCGTACTTTCTCCATTGCTCTTGGATCAATGGCATATGCTTGGTGGTGTAGTAGTTGATATCATACTCGGCGTCCGGGTCGTTGGGGAAAACGACAGTGATGGTGACAGTCATGATGGGCGATATCTGTGATGTCTGAGAGAACCGAAGGTCTTTGTGGTGAAAGGTCTGGAATCGATCCTTAGATATAGATGTGATTGTTGAGAATGTGTGAGAGAAGATAGAACAAATGAGGGATAAGTTCAGAGCTTGAGGCGATATAGAGACTTGGGTACTTATACTTCGAGCCGCGGACGCTTCAAGACATATCCAGACGAAGTCTACAGGCCGCTAAGCCAGGAAAGTTCTTGTACCCAAAATGCAAGACGCGAGTAATGAATTGCCGTAAACTACATTCGGTATTCCTTCCGTTCCATGAAGTAAGACTACGGCAATGCCCGTAGTCTTACCTAATCGCTGTCCCAGGCGATAGGCTGTCTGTATGCGTATTTAAGTATGCGATATCCTATACCCATTCCTGACCATCATCGCATTCTAGCATTTACTTTTCAGCAGCCCTCACTGTCTGGTTCTCCCTATTTACCTACTTCATCATACCAGCCATGTCGACTAGGCCTAAGCTTCTCGTTGTCTTGACATCTCAGGATATCATGCCAACCCGGGAGAATTTCAGGACTGGATGGTATCTTCCCGAGTTTGTTCACCCATACAACGCTCTCGCCCCTCATGTGGACCTCGTCGTCGCTTCTCCCAAGGGTGGTGTTGCTCCCATCGACCCCTACTCCATTGAAGACAGCAAAAATGACGGAGAGTGTCAGAGATTTCTGAAAGAACAGAAGGATCTTTGGGAAAAAACGGAGACCCTTTCGTCGTTTTTCGGAAGGTCTTCTGAGTTTGCGGGAGTATTCTACGTTGGCGGGCATGGACGTGAGTAGAACCCAGACAAATATGGCCTCATTAGAAGCTTACACAGATCCAGCCATGTTTGATCTCGCCGTCGACCAAATCTCACATTCCATCATCCGAGAGTTCTACGAAGCAGGCAAAATTGTCTCGGCTGTTTGCCATGGCCCCGGCGCCCTCGTGAATGTTAAGCTCACAAACGGGGAGTACCTGGTCAAGGACAACGAAGTCACAGGATTTTCGAATGCGGAAGAAGACGCATACAGCTTTACGGATGCAATGCCATTCCTTTTGGAAACAGAACTCAAAAACCACGGCGGGAGGTACATGAAGGCAGATCAGCCCTTCGGGGTTAAAGTTGTGGTCAGCGGTAAGGATGGACGCTTGATTACCGGGCAGAATCCACCTAGCGCAGGAGTTATTGGTAACGTATTGTGGGAAGCAATCAGGAAGCAGCAGATACCTTGAGACGTTTAGCACTATATAGTCAATGCGAAAAGACGAACAAGTACTTGACGCTGCGAATACAAGTTTCCAACCTAGAGCCAGCATTAGAAGCACTAAAAGCATTTCTGAGACTTTGTCTTGGTCTCAACAAATATAATTGTCTCGTCATATTACGCTCTGGGGCCTAGATACGGGTCGGACAGGGAGTCAAATTTTGGGATCCACTCATTCTCCGACGAGAACTCCACAAATTTAGAGTTGTGAGACCGGAACGCTAGCCCCTTTAGGAAACAGCCAAAGACCTCAATGGGATGACGCGCCATGAGACAAATTGTCACGAGTTATGGCACACAGCAATGGGCATACGGAGTGTAGTAAAGTGGCTTAACCTATTAAAGTAGAAGTAGACAAAAGGAAAAGGTCTATATATAGTATATAAGTGATATATACGTGATATAACACGTGATAAGTACTTCGTAATTTACGGTTATTATCCTTATTACGTAATATACCCCCTAATTATTACTATAAGGGAACTATTATACTTAGGATAAAACCTCTAAATACTTTTATAAAAACTTAATTTAGTTAAATATAAATAAAGGAAAAATAAATATAAGGGATACGCGTTTTATAGAGCGCGTTTATTATAAATAGCTCCTTATTTAAAATAAATAGGATCCTAACTAGGAATAGTACGTAATTTATTATTTTTAGTATATAAATTAATAAGGGCAGGCTATTTACCCTCTTTATATATATTTAAATTTTTATAGCACTACTTAGCTATTATTTTTTTTTAATTTTTATAATTATTATAAGTACCTATTTATTACACACGTAGCGCTATTAAATTATTTATTAATTTTATTTTAAATATAAATATTTAATATATTTAATAATAATAATAAGTTTTATATATTTTTATAATATATTTTATATATATAATATACGGTTAGCTAAAAGTTTAGATAAATAATATTAATAACGAGCCCTTCGTAATAGTTTCCCCCCCGCGCCCCCCCTTTATACCCTTTTTTTTTATACCTAAGGCCCCGGTTATTAAGCTCCCTCTCTTTAGCTAAGAGAACGCTATAACTATTAATAATAATATTAAAATTTTTATAAATTCGAGGCTTATATTAGTAGTTTTATTATAGGTAATAATAAAGGTAATAATAATAAAAGTTTTAATAATAAGCTTTTAACCTCCCTACTAAAAAAAATAAAAAAAAAAAAAAATAAAATATTTTTAAGTAAAGTACGTAATATATTATTATTTTAAGGTTTATATTTAATTTATTTAGATATTAAAAAATATAAGGGCCCTATTTACTAAATAATAAAAAATAAAAAGAATATTAAGAGGTTAAAATAAAACCTATAATAAGTTTAGTTAATTTTTTTACTATTTAGGGCTTATTTAATATATACTTAGTCCTTAAAAGCTTAAGGATAAGGCTCTTATAGAACAGGATATAGAACAGGATATTTAGTACGTACCTTACTTAAGGGTAGCCCTCTATTTTAATAATTAAAGTAATAATAGTTATTATTTTAAAGAAAGCTATAGCTAATATATATATTATTTTAATAGCTATTTAGTTAAAAATTATATTAATATTCCCTTTATTATATAGCTAATAACCTAGGCCTTTACTAAGGCTATTATAAGTAGCGCTTCTACTTTTATAAATATACTATTTTTTATTATTCTTAAGAACGTACTTAACGCTAATTAAAAATTTTTTTAAAATTTAGTATATAATAAATTAGATAGAGGAGTATAAAGTTAAATACGAGGATTATATTCGTTTTTAGTAAGATAAGTTTATTTTTATAACGATTTTCGTAACCCCTTTTATAAATATACCCATATTATTATTTTTAGGTATTATAGTTATTTATAACTAGCTTTTTATTACCCTACCCGCTCCTACTCCTTAAGTCGTTAACCTAATAGTCCTTTTACCCCTAGCTCCCCTTACTATTCTAATTATTTATAATTTTAAGGATTTTAAGGTATATAAAGCGCAGTTCTTAGTATATATTTCCTCCTTTTTTATTACTAACGCTATAGTTTTAATAATTTCGTTCTTCTTAAACCAGGAATTTAAATAATAAGTATAAGCCCGGGTTATATTTTTATATACATATACCCTATAGGGTAAGTTTATTTTAAGAGTTTTAGGCCTTCGGGCTAAGAAAAGTTTTATTTATTTTATTTTAAACTTATAGGCCGCACTCTTAGTTTAGTTAATTATTTATTTTTAGGTATTAAGTTTTTCTAAGCGTAACTTAAATTAATTATTTTTAACTATTTTAATTATTTATAATAAGTTCTTACGCATTGTAGAGGTTAAGAAATATATAAAAATATTTAAACTTAGTTTATAAGAAGTTCTTAGTAAGTTTATTTATTAATATATTTTTATTAATATATAAATAACCTTAAAGCTATTTCTAGCGTACTCTTATTTAAGCTATATATTTTATATATTAATAATAAAGCCGTATAGCTATTTTTTTATTTTCCTTATAACGAGTTAAATTGTTTATTAATTATTATAATTAACTAACTATACTTTTCCTAGGTTAAAAGAAATATTTATAAAAGGCGCTTTAAAGTTATTATTTTTTTATAGTTTTCAGAAATAAAGAAGCTTAGCCTCAGTAATTAACGTTATAACTATTACTTAGTATACTAATTTTTATTAAATTAGGTTATTAAAAGGAATATTATATATCCTTATAATAATTATTATATTACTTTATTATTTATAAAGTTAGTATCTCTAGCTAGAAATAATAATTACGTTTAGTACACTACTATAAGAGAGTAAAAATACCTTATTATATAAAAGTATTAAATATACTAGTTTATTATTTTAATATAAGTTATACTTAGGTTAGTTAAAAACTATAATAATTATAAATAAATAAAAGTAACGTTTAGTCTAATTATAATAGCTATATAAAGTATATTCCTAACCTTTTTAAAAACTTTTATTTTTCCTTTATTACTTACCCTTATTTAATTTAAACTCGTATTACAGAAGAGGTAATTAAATCTATTAAATCTATTAAATTAAAGTGCTTAATAACCTATTTAATATATACATTATAAACTAAGTAAACCTTATAAATAGTACGGTCTTATATAATCCGTACTTTAAGAAAATAATTAATTAGTTTATTCTCTTTAAAGTTAATATATTCTTTTATACTATTAACAACTTCCTAAGCTACCTTCTAGTTATCTTAATAATATAAGACTATAAAGTCGTTAATATAAAATACTAATATTACTTTCTTATTTATAGTTTAATAAATATACTTTTCATAGCTATAGATTATATTTATACTACGAAGTATAAAAATAAAAATTTAAAACTATAAAATTAATAAATCTCATAGACCGTATAGAGCATATTAAAGTTTACCTACTTTACTAATAACTTTATATCTTTTAAGAGTTTAATAATTACTAATTTCTTATTCTTAATAAGTACGTTAAGGAATGCGTTAATAGCGTTATATTAATCAGCCTTAAAGTTAAATTAGGTAACTATTACTATTATAAACTAAAAAGCCTTTACAGCGAGTATTAAAGCGTATATATTTTATAAAAATTGAGTAGTTATATATCCCCTTTATATATATATACTTTTACTTCATAAACCTCGTTATTAGCGTTATATTTATATATATACTTATTTTAATAAAAATAAGATCCTTTATTTAAGATTATGTTTAACCTCTTCCTATATATTAATATCTTTTAGCTTTTTATCTCTATATTTATAATATCCCTGAGTAACTTTTATAGCTATTATAAGAAGTATTTAATATTACTAAACTTCTTTAGTAAGCTTAAAAGTTAACTTTATTAGGCTATAGTTTTTAACTTATACCAGGGCGCTCTAGGTAAGTCCTATAGATTACCTTTTATTATTTAGTAAAGTATTATATATCTTATATTACTTTTTTTTAGCTTTCTATTAATTAGGTATAAAGGTAAAAAAAGTAGTCCTAGTAGTAGTTATAATAATTATTATTTTTTATATTTAAATATAAGAGCGTTATAAAGATATTATTATTAAAACGTTATAGAGGTTTATGGGCTCGATTTAAGTATTTAGGACCTAACTAAGCTTTACTTAATACTCGCTAAGGTAGTTTTTATAAGCTCTATTTTTATATAGTAATAGAGGTTTATTATAAGGGTTCCCTACTAATATTAACTTTAGCGTTAGGAATTATATCCTTATAATTAGTACCTCGTTTACTACGTATTTTAGCTTCTTACTAAGAGCCATTAGGAATTAAGGGCTTAAAAACCTTTATAATATATATAAGTACTTATAAAGAGGACTATAGGTTGCGCAGAGCTATTTATAACCTAGTTATTATATCCTTTTCCTTACCCCTACCCCTAAGCTTACATAAGGGGGTTATCTTAGGGATTAATAGTACTAATAAGGCTATATTAGCCTTATTAATATTATTAACTATACCCTAGAGTACGTTTATTAATTACTTAGCGTCCTAAATAGTTAAAAACTTAATAATAATACTATCCTTAATTATAAAGTTATTTTAAGTATTAGTATTTCTAAAGTCTAGATTTATTTCCCCGAGTATTTAAACTAATTTATTATTAACTTTAAAAGTTTTTATATTTCTTAGATTACTAAATTTACTTATTTACTTATAATAGCTTGCTCTCGTATATAGAATTATAAAAACTTTTTATTAAACTTAATATTCTTTATAATAAATACTTACTTAAGCTGGGTACCTAGACCTTATATAAGTTATACGTTTCTAGTGTATATCTAACTAAGTATCCTATATACTTATAAGGAAGTACTTTATACTCCTTTTAATATATACCCTCTTATAATCCCTATAAAAGGGTATACTTAGTAGCTATATATATAAAGATTACTAAGATATAGGGTAACTAGTTCTAAATCTCGTACTTAGTAGCCCGTTTATTATTAGCGTTAATATCTCTTTTACTAGTTAATTTTTATTATAATAAGTAAATCTCTATTATTAGCTCGTAGGTAATATTATAAATAAAAATCGCTATTATACTACTTTATCCTATAGTTTTTAAAGAGGTTTATAAAAAGTATATCTTATAAGCTTTAATAATTATAAATTAACTTACTCTTTTATATTACTTACGGGTTTTTTATATATAGTAGAAGCTCTATTTTAATTCTTAGCTTACTATACTACGTTTTATATATACGTTTAACGTTTATAATAAAGAGGCGGTCTTATTATTACTTTTAAAAAGTAGATTAGAGTTTTTTTATTAATAAATTACTACTTTAAGGCTCTATAGTATAAATAATACTTGTCCTCTATTTTATTTTTAAAAAGAACCCCTAAGCTACTTACTATATTTATTTAAGGCTATAAGTATATATTATTATTTACTTAAAGATAGCTCGAAATAGAAAAGATCTTAGTATATATAGTACTATAGTATAGTTATAAGGCTCTTCTTAAAGGTAGTCCTCTTAAAATTATTAACTTAGTTTTGGATATTATATATACCTTATACTTAATTTATAATAGTAATTTAATACGTATACTACGAGTCTTATAAAGGAGTTAATAAAAGGTATTAAGCCCGAAATAACCGGTCTTAAAGTACTATAAGAGTGCGCTATTAGATTTCTTATAAATATATTAATATAAGTAATAGAATTTCCTATAGCTAATTAGTAGCATAATACTAACTAGGCTTTATAAAATATACTTAAGATTTATAAAAAAGTAAGATTAAAAGAGCTTATATTTAAAGAAGACTAAGTTATTTTTTAAGTAAGCTATTTTTAATAGTGCTTTTATAAAGTATTCTTTATTATAAAGTATAATTTAGACCGTAGTATTAGAATATACTTTTATTAAGGAGAGTTTTAAAATTATATTAATATAAAATCCTTTAATATAAGTAGTATTCTAAAGCTTTAGATCGTACGTTCCCTCCCTTTAGGTCTATTTAAAATGCCTTTTATAATATAAGTATTGCGTATAGTAATAGGTAGTATAGTAGTACTAGATTTAATATAATCGTCGTTATTTAATAATATATAGCTCTTAGGTTTAAGTAGGCTCTTATTATTAATTAGATATATTATTCTATAGCTATTTATTACCGTACTTTAGGATAATAAATAAGTACTACTTATAAGGGTATTAAAGATTGCGTTTATTTTTACCTTTTAACCCTTTATAAGTATAGTAATATAATTATTATTTTAGTTTATTAATAAGCTTATTATAAGTTAGTTAGAGGATCCTTTTAGTTACTAAGACTTTTTGGGGTTCTATTATTTTTAATTAACTTATTTTTTAAGCTTATTATAAAGTGATTTTTATTTATTTGATTTAATTATAGTAAGGACTTCTTTTATATAGCTATTTATTATTTATATTGGGAACTACTAGTATTATGGTTTATAAGTACTTATTTTAACTTTTAGTATACTAAAGGCAGTGTACGTTATTATAAGGGTAATTAATATCCCCCTTATTATTTACGTTTTTAAACGAGTTAGAGCGTTTAATAAAAATAAAATAAGCCCCTCTTTAGCCTAAGGGGTATTTAGTATACGTTTTTTATATTACTAAGCTAAACGTATACGTAATCTTATTAAGGGTCCTAGTATATATTTTAAAAGCTATTAATTCATAAAAAGTTTTATAAGTACGTTAGCTCTATATAAAGTTAAGTTTAAACTTAACTATATTTAAGAAGTTAAGTATAGCGATTTCTTTATTAATTTTTAAAATATTATATATCTTAGTTCGGAGGTAAGCTAATTATTATTTTTTATATTAGCGTTAGAGATTAATACTAGTCCTCGCTTTACTAAGGACTTATTTATATTCTTAATAAACTGCACTCTTAATTATGGCCTCGGAGGGCGCTAGTTTTTATTTTAATTATTTAACGATTTATTATATACTAAACTTAATACTATTCTTAGTTATTTTTAAAATACGTATTTATAAAGAGTAGCGTTAATTAACTTTCCTAATTACTAAATAAAAGTTTAATATATATATTAATATTATTATGTTTAGGAATTATAATTTAATAATATTTAGTAAAGAGCTCCTACTTTTTTAAATATTTTTAAATATATAGATCTTTTATAAGTATAATATAAGAATATATTTAATTATATAAAGTAAGTAGTATTATTAGTATTATAAAAGGAGTTCTAGATAGATCTTATAAGTTACTCATACTTAAAGAAGTTAAAGGTTATATTAGAAGTTAGAGCTAGAAATTATTAATAATAAGTTTCTTATTTTTATTAATTATTTTTAAACACCTTACGGCGTACTTAGTAAGCTCGTTACTTTTTTTTATTATAAATTAAAAATATTAACTTAAAATTAAAAGGTAAAATAAATATTATAAGGGGAGTAAGGAATACGTTAGAGTTTAGAGCGTTTAGGTTAACGTACTTCTAGACCTCGAGACCCTTACTTATTAAGTAGAAGGCCTAGAACTATTTAATTTAATTATTATAACTAGTTAATTTAGTTTAGCTAAAAGTAAATATAAAAATATTAATTATATTAAAAAGATCGTAGGGATCGTATTAATAAGTACGTTATTATAATATAAGGTCTTAATTAAGAGCTAGGTTTATAATTATTATGAGTTATAGTATATAGTAATAGGTATACGGAGTATAGTAAAGTAGCTTAACTTATTAAAATAGAAGTAAATAAAAGGAAAAGGTTTATATATAGTATATAAATGATATATACGTGATATAGTACGTGACGGGCACTTCGTGGTCTGCGGTTACTATCCCTGTTACGTGACACAAATCCAACTTCATCCCTTAGCAGAATGATGCAGAATTGCAAAACTTGCATCTCGCCTCACTAATTATAGGACCAGCTGGACAATTTTCGGAAGGTCTCTCCTTCGCTCGCAGGCCTCAATTCGACATTCGCACATGTCAGATTATTTGGGCAAAGATTGTGGGATAGACCCCTGAGGTTCATACCAATGGTGAACCGAGGGCGTCTTTCGCCGGCATGCCTTCCATGCAGGGCGAGGAAGCTCAAGGCAAGTTCTTTAAACTCGCCGTACAATCCGAGTGCATAGCTTCTTCTAGGAAAGATCTTTTGACTAACAAGCCGTCGTCGTTAGTGTGATCTCCGGCCGGATAGGTGTGGCCAGTGTGCCAGAGCTAAGATAATATGCCATGGATATCGGGATCCTGACGCAATTCAATTCCACAGTGAGAACAATTCGGCAGAACAAAAGGTTATTGCTCGTCGTAGCCGTGTTCTACATGCAGAAAATCATCCAGCCTCTCTGGAGCTGAGCTGGGATACGCGTGCACGATACGCATTTTTCTCGACGTACATCCAAGGATTCACTCGGAGCATGAGTGAGATAGCTTACCATTACCGGAACTCAAAGACACTAGATCATATTTCAGCGAGCGTGGAAGCAGTCAGTCTAGCCTTTATGGCTGTTCAGCTCGCCAGCCCGAATCTTCTCCTATTAGCCAGCTCAAGTTACGTCACGGCTATTCAACGACTCAATCACGCTCTCAGCTCGCTCAATCCTGGGGAAGCGGAAAAAGCACTCCAAACCATTTTGTTGCTGGATATGTACGAAAAGCTTGTCCACCGGGATCCGGCACAATCTCAGTCATGGCTGAGTCACGCACAAGGTGGCTTATCACTACTCGGTGCCCGTGAGACGAGTATTGTGTCTACCCCAACAGGCTGTCAAGTTGCAGCTCGACTTGTGACGGCGGTGACAGTAAGCTGTGCCACAGTCGGAGATAAAGTACCTCCAGAGCTTACAAAGGTCCGTCGAAATATTGGCTATCGTGTCAAGAGCGTGAAATGGACATTTCTAGGTGTCCTTGCGCAGGTTGTTGACCTTAAGTCCGACATCATTCATGGGAGAGTTTCGACATTGGAACTTCTTGTTAAGGCAAAAGGTCTGGATGAAAGAATCAATGCGTTGGACAAAGCCCGTCCACCATCTTGGAAGCCAAAAACCATACAAGTCACTGCAGACGAGCAGATTCTGGGATGTTTCTACGACATCTACCCGGACCACTACATCACTCAAGTCTCGAATGCAATCTGCACAATCCGCCTCATTCTTTACCACCTCATCAAGACTTACGTCCCCGAGGAGAGTCGCCCGAAAGAGTACACATTCCACGGAACAAGTCGCGACTCGATCAATCAGATGTGCGCCTCCGTGCCTCAGTTTATCTTACCAGGAATACATGAAACAAATTCATTGCCTTTTTCGCCTGTACAACAGCTTCACTGCAGCACCTTTCTGGCGCCCCTTTACCTGATCAATCAGGTATCAGAAGACAAGAAAGTAAAGGCATGGGTGCAACGATGTTTGAAGTTTATGTGGGAATCTGGAGGCTTCAAATCAGCTAAAGAGATTCTTCATGTCACGCAAACAGCACCAGACCTAGATTACTGGACCGTGTTTGCTATGACCGGTAGCTATGCACTTGGAGCCTAGAACAACACTCCTGAACCATCGATACATCCTCAGTCGTTCCTGAGATATAGAATGATAAAATGTTGAATATTCATCTCAAGTAGATAATCCGTGTGTAAAGGAAGAAGAACAAGCTCCTGCATTAACTCAAGGCGCAAGCAGGCTGGTATCATTTGCGACACGCCAATAGCAACCTCAGGCAAGCTCGATCGTTCATCGATAGGTGCGCATGAGTCACTGTCTACTCCTTTAATCCATCCAAAGACATAGCTGAGTCAACGACAGTCCTTTCATACGGCGTCCATTCTAAGCCCAAAATCTCCCTCGCCCGGGATGTGTTGTATCCAAAGGACTTCAAAGCCGAATTGGGCAACCCCCCAAAGCTACTAGGCTCTGGCAACTTTTCCCGCATTGAAGGGAAGCTGTTCCAAAGTGCATTGGCCATCTCCTTATTGCTGTAGAAGCCAGCTGTGGTAAGAAAACGCTTGCCCCCGGCGCCCTGGACCTCCATGGCCCTTACGTGTGCCAGGGCGACGTCACGGACGTCAACCCAGAGCGGCAATCCTGTGGGCGGTAGACCTGCCTTGTGCTTTCCCAAAATGACTTCCGCCAGAAGTTGGTTCGAAGTGTTGATCGCGGAGAGGGACTTGACCGGCAATCTCACGGGGCCATATATCATGGGCGGGCAGATTGTGGACAAGGTAAAATTTGGCTTCTCGGTCTCGACAAAGTTCCAGGCCGCCCTTTCGGCAAAGACCTTTGAAGTAACATATGCCATCATGCCATTAGAGTAGGCATCTTCGAGAGTCACTGGGCTCCAATCTTCCTCCGAGTACGTCTTTTCCGCACCCATTGCTGCAAGTCCAGGGTTCAGAATGGCTGCGAAGGAAGAGGTTACGACGACACGTTTGACACCGGGACAGGAATCCTTAATCGCCTTAAGAACGCCCGTTGTACCAATAACAGCAGGATCAATGAGATCTTTCTTTGGGTCGGTGACATTGTAATGAAACTATGCATCGTTAATTAGGAGGTTCAAGGAACGGTAATAGCCAAGTTTCCCGGCGACTTACTGGGCTTGCCACGTGTATCACAGCTTCGAGTTCAAGAAAGCCCAGACCTTCGAAAGCCCCATCCGTCGCAATATCTGGGACAATCAAAGTTTTGAGGTTGTCCTGAGAAACGTCTGCGTATGCACCCAGTAAGGCCTGAGACTTTTCCTGAGATCGGACAGTGGTGACAACGGAGTGCCCACGCTTCAGCAGAGTGTCAATGACATGACCAGCCACGAAGCCAGTGCCCCCTATGTTCCAAACAGGTTGTGCATTAGCCTATATTCAAACTCATAACACACTCAGTCGTACCGGTGACAAGAACTTTCGTCATGACTGTGCGTGATAGCAATGGAGGAGATAGAACAAGTGCCTGCGTTGGGTTTGTGGATGGCTTGAATGATAATTTGAGAGACGAGACTTGAGAAGCAATCCTGAGTATTTTTCCAGCACTTTATAAGTCGGCCGCTGCATCATTTGCTGCCGTGAAAAAGTTACGCGTACTTCCCGATAAAAAGTAGGAGAATGATCGGCGTCAGGTCCGGATGACGAAGCAAGGTGAAATTAGCAAGCAATGGAACTTCCCCAGTGGCTCGATCTGAACTTCCACAAGCTTCCAAGTCATTGCAGAATCAGTCATCCACGTTGCAATTATGGAGGCGTTGGCCTTGGAATACCCCTAGCATCAGCATAAGGTTCGAATGGCTTGAAGGGCGTGATGCATGCCGGAACGCTAGCCATTTTCGGACACGGGCAGCAATTTCCAGCGCGAGCTAGGAACCGGCGGACGATAAGAACAGTCCGGCTTCGGATCCGCGGCGGTGTACCCATAACATCACTCGAAATGGCGCTGACACTTAAGTCCACTAGCTCCGATATATGGTTCATCAAGGTTGACTTACATTGAAAGATTTCAAGATCAGATCTGATTAGAAAGCAACTAGATTTATTAGAAATATCAAACACATCGGCAGGCCCCCTCAAATTCCAATAATTTGACTACCAGTTGAAAATCGAGCTGGAAAACAACCATATTTTACTTGCCTTTCCAACCTCTATTGCAGAAATTCGCATCTGAGTTCATTAGTCTTAAGTTGCCTCACAGTCTAACCATCCACTCTATCCCAACTAGAGAGAAAATGGTCGGAGGCTTTGCGCGAGATGCTCCTAAGGGGTTCGAGAACTCCATCCAGAAGGTAGCCATAGTAGGAGTAAGTGATTCCGGAGAAGATTTTCATGTGAATATGAGCTTAAGTTGACAAAATAACTTGTAGGCTGGCGGTAACATTGGGAAAGCCATCGCAGAGGAACTTCTAAAGACAGGGAAGCATACAGTGACCGCAATCACGCGTAAAGAAAGCACCAGCTCCCTGCCGAATGGTGTCAAAAAGGCTTTTGTCGATTACGAGAACAAAAGGTCTTTGGTCGCAGCTCTGAACGGTCAAGACTTTCTCGTCATTACGCTTTCACTAAGCGCTCCTCCGGGTACTCACACGTCTCTGATTCAAGCTGCCGCCGAGGCAGGCGTTTCATACGTCATGCCCAACGCCTACAGTATCAACACACACAGCGCAGCCATCAGGAAGGACATTCCAATCACAAACATCGTCATGGAGAACATCGCCGAGGTTCAGAAAGCGGGCCTGACTTCGATTGCGCTGATGAACGGGTTTTGGTACGAGTACAGCCTCATCGCAGGCCCTGTCACCTTTGGATTGGACTTGAAGAATCGCACGGTTACTTTGTACGACGACGGCGAACAAGCTATCAAGGTCGCTACATGGGCTCAATGCGGTCGCGCCGTAGCATCTGTCTTGAGCCTGAAGGTCATCCCCGAGGATGCCGATGATAAGTCGATAACCATCTCCCAATTCCATAACAAGACTGTCTTTGCCTCAAGCTTCAAGATTAGCCAGCGTGACATGCTGGAGAGTGTCAAACGAGTGACAGGGACAGTCGATTCTGACTGGAAAGTTGATCATGAGACCACTCAAAAGAGGTACAACGACGGTCTTGAAGAGCTGAAGCAAGGCAAGCAAGGGGGCTTTTATAAGTTGATGTACGCTCGTGTCTTCCAACCGACCGATGATGCGGACTTCGCTTCTGACAACAATCTCCTGGGGCTTCCAATCGAAGATCTAGATGAAGCTACCCGCACTGCCATGCTAATGTATACAGCTTAAAGTATGCGATCAATAGATAAGCCATTTGTCACTCATTACAGGAATACACGCTATTACCGGCATTCAGTTCCTACTTGCAATGGGCTTCCACTCGTGATCTCTTTCCTGTTCTCTGCGAGACTACGTACGTGGGGTTCGCCATACATTGAGATTCGACAGCCAAGCTCTTAGCTCAGAGAGTAGATCATTTAACGAGATCGGCTTGCTTCACTTTCGCCGCCTTCTCTGCCTCAAGAGTCTCCGCCCAGGTCATTTTGGATATGCGTGGAGGTGGTTCCCGTTGTCCCTTGGAATTTCGAGGGACACTGTCTGCTGCGACACAATCGGGACCACCGGAATAATAAGAGCGGCTATCGGCTTGATGATATTAGTGGCTGAACAATACAAGACAGATTCAATGTCTACCGACCCATTGTGTTTGTGACAGACAAAGCCACTCTGTCCGCCTTCTCGCCCAAGGTCTTCAACTAGATAACGTCAGCACATACGACATACAAATTGCAACTTGTCCAAGAGCTTATAATACATACGAAGCCCATGTTAAAGTCGAGGCAGAATAGATTTCGGAAGTCAAAGACACTTTGAAGTGGTTCTTAATCTCACAATCTATTGTAGAATCGGTGGGCCTTTGGGCAAGATGTTCTCTTATTTAACCAACTTTTGTCCCGTTGTTCCTGTTTTCGGCGGCTACGTTCACGTTCAACACACAGCACAGCCGCAACACTTCGCCCAGATTCCTACGCATTAAGCGACAAGTTGCGTCATTTTTGGCTGCATCTGGCCACCTCGGCAGCTGGCTATTGTTTTGCCAAGGGAAATTTACCGCCAATCCAAGCTGAGAGGTGCTGCGCCGCTAACACTTGGCATAATCGCCATGTGAACAGCCCGGAAAGCAATGAATGGCTGGATTGATATTCGGACTCTGTTGGATGGCTGTGAAACAGGTTTAGCCTATACGCCCGAGTTATATGGCTTACTGTTCTTTCCGTCCCGGCCTCCTAGCTTCTAATTACGTGTGGCGTTTTCCATTCTTACATCCCCAAGGAAACGAAGTACAATGCATCTTTGCCCAGCCAAGTTTCTTCTACAATGGTAAAGTGACCCTTGATTTGATCAATCTAGAGTTTTTGAATATTAAGCTCGAGATGTTTGTGCTAGTCAATGTTCGCCAGCAATTGTTCGATCGTATCAGCTAAATTCGCAGTGACGACATGGGCGATACCACCTGCACCTGGTTTCGGTCAGTCTCTGAGCCACCTCTATTCCATAAAATAAACCAATTTGTTTCGTGCGGAATAATGATGGGCAAATGGATCTCTTTGGGATAGGGAACGCGACTGTGGGAGACATTGAAGCCAACGGGAATCAGGAAGACGGGGATATGGGTGATGGAAACGGTCGCTCGAACAATGCCGTTCGCAGCCATGAATGTGAGATAAGATAGTGTTGGCTGTAAGTGATACTGTATCAAATGAATCATTCAGTACCAAATTTTGGACTTGGATAGGTGGCTAATGAACAAAAATAGCAACATCAAAGAGCCTGGATACTGTAAGGTCGACTCGTAACTAAAGTTCGTTTTCTCCACACGGTATGACCTCAGGTACTGTGCCATTGCATCCCAATCGAGGAAACGAGTTCGAGTTTGTAAAGGGGAGGTGTTTGCTGGGAAAGGTTGAGACTCTGAAGTTCCGATACATCATCGTGCCACTGGTGTTCTTCACGGAATACCCTATTTACCAGCACTTGCCTGCCCAAAAACGGCACGAATGAGATCACGGGCAGCCCTACCACGAAGCTTCCTTTCTACAGACATTTTGAACCTTGTCAGTTTTCAGTGCAAGCTAGAACTGCCGCACAAGGAGTTCCCGGTGCACTTGCCCACGTGCTGCTGACATTGACAGGCCTCCTGACTAAGGTAGGTGGTGGTTGGAGGTCACCGCCACACCTTCATTGAATACAATGTTGCCTATCATTTTCCTATCCACTAGTGATCCTGTCGGATTAGAAGTCTAATTCGACCTCGCAGCAGCACAGGGGCCACCCATCGATTGTATAATTAATTACAATAGCTAATCTAACTTATAATTAAAATCTCCTTTTTATATATACGTAATAGAATTATATAATTAATTAACTTATTATTATAATAACTTATAGTTCGAACTAATTAACTAATATCCTTATAATAAGGATATTAATACTAATTAATAATTAATTTTTATTATTATAAATTAATAAAATATTTTATATATAAATAAAATAACTTCTTTAAATAGAATATAATAAAAAAATTATATTATTTAGTTTTATAAAAATAGGTAATAAGAAATAAATTTTTATAATAGAATAAAGTAAAAGGATTATAATTTTTAATTATTTATAAAAAGTTAACGTTTATTATATTAAAATAACCCTTATTAATTAATAAGAGTACTAAAATAACCGAGTTATTATTATTAATTTTACGTAATTTTTATTATTTAATTTTATTATAACTAGCTTATAATTAAAAAAATAACCCTCGTATAAAAAGAATTATTTATATAACGATTATTAACCTAATTAATTTATATAATAAACGAGCTTTATTATATAATATAAAAAGGTATTATATAAATAATAAAAAAAGAATTTTAAAATATAAAAGTAATTAGATTTTATTTTTTATTTTTATTAGTATTTAGTTTTATATAAAAATTATAAAATAAGGGATTTATTATTATAAAGATTTTATAAATATAATTTTAAAGCTTATAATTTAAATAATCCTTTATAACCCCTTAACTACTCCTAAAATATTATTATAAAATATTATATAAGAAGTATTATAAAAAAAAAAGGAATTTAAAAATTATAATAATTATAAAAACTAATAATTATAAAACTTTAAAATAAAATAGTTAAGGTTTTTAATATTAATATTTTAAATATTTTTAAATTTTAATAAAATTAAAAAAAGTTATAGAAAATTTTTTTTTAAAAAGCTTTTAAAACTCTTTTATATTATTATTATAATATTAAATTATTAATTTTAAAAAATAAAAATAAATTACTAATTAATAATAATTTATTTAATATATATATATACTTCTTAGGTTTTAACTTAGAGAAATATTACGTAATTAAAATATTATTAAACTATTTATAAATTTATTTTTAATATTAATTAATTAAAAGTAAAAAAATTATTAAAAAATAGTAAATAATTATATTAATTAAGAGTTAATATTAATAAAATAAAGTATAAGAAAAAAAAAAATAAAAGCTCTTAAACTTTAATAAACTTAATAAGTAATAATAATACGTTAATATTATAATTAGTAAGTAATTTTAATATAACTTTATTAAAATTAAATATATTAGTTTTAATAAATTAAAATATAAGCTAAGGTATAATAAAAATAAATTTATTACGACTTAATATAAAACTAGGGCGTACCCTACTAGTACCTAGCAGCTATAGCGTATTATATATATAAAATAGGATAAAATATTAAAAACCCTAAGAATAAAAGAACTATAATATAAGTTATATAATAATAAAAATAAAAATATTTTAAATATATAATATATTTAACCGACTAAGGATATATAAAATATACTAAATATTTAATATATTTAAATAAAAGATTATTTAATTTTATTTAGTTAAAGAATAAGATTTATATATAATATAAACTTAAGCTAGGCTTAAGGATAGACTTTTATAGCTTTTTAATAATTAACTTAGTATTAGATCTTATAATCATTTTTAATTATTTTTATTAAGAACCTTTTTAATAAGATTATAATTAATTATTAAAGCTTTATTTATTTTATAATTTATAAATATAGTTTTAAAGAAGTTATTTATAATTATAATACTATTTATTTAGTATTCGTAGCTTTAATTTTTATTAATATACTTATTATAACTAACTAGTTATAATATTTTAATTATTTTTATTTAATAAGTTTATTTTATAAAGACTAATTAAATAGTATAAACGATATTTTTTATACTTTAACTAAATTATTTATTTTAAGCTCTTTTATTTTTAAATAATTTATTTAAAGCTTAGTTAAAAAATAGAAATAGCCCTAATCAATATTAATTTTAATAATAAGGTTACTTTTAAAGGACGTTTATAAATAATTTTATAAAAAGTTAAAAAAGGGATATAAATATTATTAAGGTATAGATTATATATAATAAAATTATAAATAAGTTTTAGAATTTTAAAATTATAATTTAATAGTTTAGAAATAGCCCTTAGTATATTTAGGATTTAAAAACGAAGTTATTTAACTTAGGAATAAGAAGTAAGTACTAATATTTAAGTTTTTAGGGAGAAGTTAATACTTTCTAAGCTATTATTAATATTATTAGTACCCTATTTAGGAGGATAATAAAAACTTAAGCTTAGTATACTTATTATTCATAATAATACCCTAAGTATTTTAAAAAATTTCTAATTTAAGTTAAGAATTATTAGAACTTTTATTACGGAGATTTTATTAGTAAAACTAAAAAGTTATATATACTATTAGTTTTTAAGGGACGAGCTTTTAAATAGTTTAAACTTATTTAAAAAATACTTTAATAAAAGACTTTTAATAAGTACTTTATTAAAATACGTAATATTTATTATAATTTTAATAAATTTAAAAAGCTTTTAAGTTTTTATTTTAAAATCTTAATAAAAATAATAAGCTAAACGTAACTTAATATAATTATAATAGATTAAATTAATAAAGGAATATTTTATTAAATTTAGATATTTTAGTACCTAATTAGACCTTATTAACGATATTAAAATATTTATATTTTATTAAGGACTAAAAATAAAATTAAAAACGAACTAATTAAACTTAATAAACTAAAAACTTCTTTTAGTATAATAAACTCGTTATTAAAATTAATAATTAACTTTACGAATATAAAAAAAGAAAAGAACGACTTAATACTAAACGTAAATATTAATAATAATTTTAACAAAATTTTTAAGTAAATTAACAACCTATAATAATTAAAATAATAATTAATAAAGTACTATTTATAAATAATATAATAGCCCTATAAACCTTAGTATTATTAAAAAAATAGCTACCCTAAAAGACTTTAAGTACTATAACTATAATAAACTAAGATATATAGTTAGAGATTATTAATAACTTAAGCGTATTTAATATTAACCTATTTTAAAAAAACGAGTTAACGTTATAAATAAGGAAGTCCTCTATACATAACTCTTATAAACGACTTATTATAATAATAACTATTTTATTTATTAAGATAATAAGGAATAAATAGGATATTATTTAAAAATTTAAGAATTATAAACGATTAAATACTACTTTATATATTAGAACCTTAATAATAATAATTAAAAAAAATATTTATATACTAACCTCTTACTTTTAAAAATAATAAATATTAAATATATTACTATTTTTATAGATTTATAAAAATATAAAAAAGGCTAAAATAGACCTTATTATAAAAGATACTTTTATTTTTTAAAAAGAATCATATAAAGGCTCTAAGTAAGTATAAGAAAATAACTTTTAAATTTAAAAAAGAGGACTTAATATAAAAAAATTATAAATAACTT